CCCAAAGAGTCCCAAAGCGAAGCCGGTTGGCGACGAGATAACCCAGTATCTTGATGGTGGTAAGTTATGCTCTTCTTCAAGTCTTGTTACGATAAATAACGGTTGCTGATTTTATATAGATGTCGTTGATTCCGAGCCGCTACCCTTTTGGCGAGAGAACCATAGCCGTTTTCCTGCGATTGCTTCGCTTGCGCGGGATATTCTTACAATTCCAGCAACTGGGGCAGGTGTGGAACGGTTGTTTAACACTGCTCGCGATATTTGCCATTATCGCCGCGGTCGTATGAAGGCTGAGACTATTGAAGAGTTAATGCTTTTCCTTTGTACATCAAGATGTGACCTTGAATTACATGAGGCAAAGGAGCTTGAACGATTCTTCTCTCTGAATGAGATCGAAGCACTGAGAGAGGAAAAGGACGATAAGCTTGATGATGTTGAATTTGAACAGATCAGTGATACAGAAGAACAGCCTGAGATTTCTAGGGGTTTGATTGATGTTGATGATGATAATACTGGTGATAATGATGCTGGCGATCCTCCATTGCCAACTTATAGTACTCAGCCACGTATGTCAGGGAGGAAAAGGAAGCATGTAGAGGACGATATGTATCAGTCTCATTAGTTTACACTGAAATTAATCACAATAATTTAATATATGTTTGAACAAATCAATAATTTATTGAATTTGAAGTGAACGATGTAATTGAAATACTCAAAATTACTGGGAATTCCTGCATTATTTGTGCAGTCACGAGAAATTGGCATGTTTGCATTGTTTAGTCGAAGGGGGGGCTCGGGGCCCCCCCCCCCTCCGAGCTGTGGCCCAAACCAAAAGCCCGAAACCCGACCCTTTTGAGGGTCGAGTCGGGTCGGGTTTCGGGCTTTTCGAGCTTTGCGGAAGTCTACTCTCGATCTTCACGGAGCTTAGCTGGCAAAACTCTATTCGAGGATTTACCGTTGCTACTAGTTCTCGGGAGCGATAGGGGGAGGGGGGGGGGGGCTAGAGCCGGTCCCTTATCCCTATTTCTGGAGCCTAGCCTAGAAGGCCGCTAAGTCATTCGAACTAGTTAGTGCTAGCGGTGCTACTACTATCGCTGCTGCCGTCGCTTTTTTAATGGTTTCTATTCGCTAGTCGAGTCGGTCGAGTGCCTATTGTACCTTTTCCATAACTTAAACCTACGGTTTCTCTCCTATCGGGGAGTTCAGTGTAAATTGTTCAATAGCCTTAACGAAGTTAATTATGTACAACTCACTAACGCCGTCGTTTTCTATGGCATTTAGCACCTCTCTGGCGCCCCGAGTGAGCTTATTCATAGTGCCAAAGTGGTTACGTGGTTTCTTCGGGGGCGCTTTTGAAAACTTTGCTTCGGGGGGCGAATCCGGTTTCCTTCCACCACCAGCACCAACCATCCTTCGATTCCTACGAAAATAGGGTCAAAAGACAGAGCCGGAGGTCAGAAAGAATATGAACAATTTTTGAGAGCCGTGCGGCCGTTGGCGAGATAGAACAAAAATTTAAATATGGGCAAAAAGAGTTGTTCCTTATGGTGGTTATATGTAAATTTAGAGTTGAATGTATCTATTACTTCGAAAATTATTGTTGAGTGGGGCGCACTAATACACGAAGGTGTGTTGGGCGCTTGGCACGATTATACGCATTACAAGGGACTAGCACCACAAGCAATATATTCAAAGCAAGATTATTCAGTCCTTACTGCTCTTCAACATCAAAGAATGAACTCAGGACATGTCACCCATCAGGTCTTCATCCATATCAAGTCCAGCCTCTCCCCCTACAATGGGATTTACTTCACTAGAACTTGTCCAAACCTGACCCTTGTGTAGGCTATCAACATACTCCTCGCTTAATTCAAGGTTGTTATTGGTCTCCCCAAGATTAATCACCAGGGTCTCCATCAGCTTCATTTCCTGATTGAGTTGGGACTGTGAGTCCAACTCATGAGAGAGCCGAGGTAACAAATGAATAGATGAGAACCGTAGCATGGAAGTCTCAGCATGATCTTTGGTCTGCACCAATGTCGCGTTCAAAGCACGAGTAATGATGAGAGAAGAAACAGCGGACGCAGTGACTTCTGTACACACAGGGGAGGGAAATACCTGCTTTGAAAGGTCGGCCATCGTTAAAGCTGCAAAGGTCTTCCCAAGCTTGATAACGGTTTGACAGAAGAAAGCAGCCAATACCTGGGAAACGAGACCGAGATTATTGTCCTAAAGCGGCAGCATTAGTCCTGAATGCCAAAACAACATAATCTACAGTGTTAACTGGAGTCGCCACATACCGCGCACCAAACCTCCTTGGCTGCATCAATTTCAGCATTAAGCCTCTTCAAATCACCGCATTCAAATGCATGAGCAAGAATGACATAGGGCCTTGCGAGTGATTGACAAACTTTCACCAGGTGAGGTGTTGTGATGCTTGGAGGCGAGCAGAGCTAATCACGGAAACAATTAGCTCAAGAAAACGATAAGGCTATAGCTGTCGAGATTATGTTCTTTTTTCTTTCAGGGAATAGAAAACCCACCTTGCCCTTTTCGAGTAAGCATACCAACACCCATTTTTTGTAAGCTTCCACCATAATCAAACTCACAGAGCTAGTGCTAGGTGTGGAGATGACAATCCCAAGAAAATGAAGTGCATTGTGCCACTCCTTTAACGCCATGTAAACCATACCACCATAAAGAAAGTACTGCAAGTAGTCTCTATATGATAGCTTGGATGAAAACCCAGAAGATTCAGTCATAAAGGATATACTTGAAACGTGATCTGCGCAAAGAACAGAGGAGTCTGAAGAGGGACGCCCCAGCGAGATTGGGAAATGACAAATCTGTTTGTTCAGGACAGGCAATGCACAAGAATATGCTTTGGCCTGCAGACAAAGCCGGACAAGCAAAAGGTGAGTCGAGGTGAAAACGGCACATGATGAATCGAGACGAAGCATAGCGTTTTTAACCAGCGTAGCGCCTAGCAATGGCTGTAGCAGGGTTAGTTTAGCATTTCAAGCCAAGAAATGTTGGAAATAGCTGACTTGCCATTGATGCAGCCTGTGAGGCTTGCCCTACGAGCTCAACAAGAAGGCGCCATTCCTGCCCAGCGTATCTGACTTGGACCGTGTTGAAACTCGCCAAAAAACGTGCAGCGCATGCCCATAGTCTTCCCGAGGGGCGGAGATCCTCTGGGAATGAATCTGAATTCAGTTCCTGTGCCTTTCGTATTTGCACTTGTAGCACAAAAAGATATGGGATAGAATCTATCTCTGGGTCAAGACGCTAAAGAAAAACGCAAGTTAGCTGCTAACCCATACAGATTTCACAGAGAAGACTTGATACAAAGTAAAGCTGCTTACATTGAGGACAGACTCATCGTTGACAAATGAATCGAGTGCTTTCGTCATTTGTAACCGCCTGAAGTATTCAACTAGCTCGCGGATCTGATTGTCATACTCGTCGCTGGGTAGGTTGTTAGAGTGATGTAAATGTGCCGATGCGGAGATGATTTCCGAGAGAAGTGTCATCTTGGCAACGTATAGAAGGAGAGCACTAGGTGATTCAGTGTCAAAAGCGCCAAGGTGGTTTGTTTCAAACCAGTGTGATATCTTGGCTTTTGCTTTTGTGATGTCAGGATTGCAACACAGTGAAGATGCAAGGTTGGATGAGAAAGGGAATAGCGAACTGAGAGAAGAGAGATTTGATAAAAAATGTGGGCGAAAGAAACCTATGTTGTAGGTACGGATTAGTCTTGGTAAAGGATTGTGACGTAGGGTGTTGTGGTGATGACTGGAGATCTCGGGGAGGTGGGTAAATCCGAGACGAGCGGGATTGATAACGTGCCCCTCCACACTTTTGGATCGATAGGATTTTCCTTTCTTTCCCCTTCTTCCGAGTCTCTACTACTTTCACTTCTTTCTCAAAACTGCTGCTTTCGATCTCCACAGGAGCAGAGCTTGTTTGATATAATGTCGTCGGCCGAATCTGCAGCAGTTGACGCCGCCCATAGCGCATCACTTGCCTCTCGTCGTCTTGCAACTTTAAACAATGATGACCGCAATAAAGCGTTGACTTTACTCCATGATGCATTGGAAATGAACCGAAAAGAGATACTTGAAGCCAATGCTAGGGATGTAGAACTTGCTACTATTGCGGCTGAGAGCGGGAATTTGAGTCATAGCGTGCTCAAGAGACTTGACCTGTCGCGGCCTGGAAAATACAAAGACATGCTTGATGGAATCTTGAGTGTGCGAGATTTGGATGACCCTAGTGAGTACACTTTCTAGTCTTTGACCTCTATCGAGATAGTGATTAACGCAACACAATTATAGTTGGGAAGGTGACACTACGAACCCTCCTTGACGATGGTCTGACACTCGAGAGAGTCAGCTGCCCTATCGGTGTGCTACTCATTATCTTTGAGGCCCGCCCGGAGGTAATTGCAAACATCGCTGCGTTGGCTATCAAGTCAGGCAATGCTGCTATTCTAAAAGGTACACGCACGCCCTTATAAAGTTTTCATGATACTGTTCAATTGACGCAAATTTCCAGGTGGGAAGGAATCCATGGAGTCATTTGCGGCAATTGCGAACGTTGTCTCTAAAGCTATTGCCGAATCTCGCGTGCCAGTGTCATCGATCCAGTTGGTCAAGACACGCGATGCAGTGTCTTCTCTCTTGGCCCAGGATTCGCTGATTGACCTGGTCATTCCCCGAGGTTCCAACGAACTTGTCCGTTTTGTGAAAGAGAACACGAAAATCCCTGTGCTTGGACATGCCGATGGCCTTTGTTCTGCTTATATACACGCTGATGCTGATATCGACATCGCCGTGAAAGTGATTGTGGATTCAAAAACAGACTATCCAGCGGCATGCAACTCATTGGAGTCCTTGCTTGTCCATGAGGATACCCTTGAATCGGTGTTCCCAGCTGTAGCTGCTGCTCTCCTACAGAAAGGCGTGACACTTCGTTGTGATCCCGATTCAAAATCTGCTTTGATAAAGACATTGCCAGCCAAGACATTAGCGCAAGTACAAGCAGCCACCGAATCCGATTATACCACTGAGTTTTTGGACCTTGTGTTGGCAGTGAAAACAATTCCCTCAAGTGACTCTCCGACCACGGCCGTGGAGGCTGCCATTGCCCATATAAACATGCACTCCTCCAAACATACAGAGCTCATTTTGACCCAGTCAAAAGAAGCAGCGGACATGTTCATGAGCGGAATTGACAGTGCGGGTGTTTTCTGGAATGCATCTACTAGGTTTGCTGATGGCATGCGGTTTGGATTTGGCACAGAGGTTGGCATCAGCACCAACAAGATTCATTCGCGAGGACCGGTCGGACTTGAGGGCCTGACGATCTACAAGTACCTGATCCGGGGAAAGGGTCACGGGGCAGCGGACTATGACGGCGAAGGAGGGAAGAAATATCTTCATACTAATCTGCCCATATGCCAGTAATCGCCTCCAGCGCAACGCATCAATAGAAGGATATCATTTTAGAAAAGATTTTTTTTTTCCTTTGCTCTCTTGTTTGAAAAATCCCAAAAGAAAAAAATTTAGGACAAAGCCCGATTCAATTTTCTTTTGCCCCTTCGTTCGTAAATTCTCATTTCCCAGTCCAACCAAAGCCATCCCGCCACTTTTAAGTACACAGACTTGAGGTCTCTGGCTAGAACTGGAACGATTCCAGGCACCGAGAAAGTCAATGTGGCCAATGCATCTTTCACAATACAGACACACCACATCATCCTCATCAAGTCCCTTAAACCTTGAAACCCTTGGATCTTCTGCGACCACGAGCCCGCTCGAACTTGCGGCCCTTGCTAGCCACGTACGGCTTCTGTTTTGAGTCAGTAAATTGAAATCACACCATCTCATTTTCAGTCGTGATAACGCACCTTGTCAGTGTGGGGACCAAAGCCAAAGTGCTTCACGGCCTCACGGGCGTTCTTGGGTCCACGCAGGAGGAGAGTGTTGGCACCGGTAGGAGCGCGGAGAGCAAGCTGGTCAAGAGTCAAAGTCTCACCACCAGCCTTCTCAATGCGAGCGCGAGCAGTCGCGGTGAAACGGAGGGCAGCAATCGACAGCTTGGGGACGGTCAAAAGGCGGTTGTCATCGGTGACGGTACCGACAACGACGACGGTCTTGCCCTTCTGCGCCTCACTGATGTTGGCGACAGCGCGAGAAAGGGAAACCGGGGGGCGGTTGATTCTCGACATGAAGAGACGACGGAGGACGGCCTTGTTGAAGTTGGACTCGGTGCGGCCTATCATGCATCCCATATCAGCCTCGATAAATCCTCACACTGGCACACCTGTAGAAATTGCGCTGCAAACGAAATTCGGAAAAATCGGGGGGATTCATACGAGCTAAGAAGCGGTAAAGCTTCACCAGAACCTTCAAGTAGACGTTGTCGCTCTTGGGAGCCTTGCGGTGGCTGCTCCGCACATGGTGGCGGTCCAGGTCGATACCTGCAATTTGTAAATTGTCAGTGGAATGAACTGAATACTAGCAAAAAAACGAAGAGGTTCGAATTTATGCTGCGAGATGCGATATTTGAGTCAACGGAGATGATCAAACATACCCATGGCTGTGTATTGGTCGACTTCCCGGGAAATAGCTTGCTGTCGCACCCGTATGGAAAGTGCAAGAGGTTTTTGATCCTTGACTTTCGGCTGGACAGTGTTGTGTGGGTTTAGCCCTACGCTAGACTTGACTAGGAAAGGCGAGGCACATGACCTGGGTACTACCACGTGATGCCAACACCATTTTACTCGCCACCTGCTCACGTGCTATGTGGATCTCGCCGCATCTAGCCCTGGAGCAGAGAATTACTCCGAACCTGATCTTCAAATTCTGGCGTACTCTGTACATTGACATCGACACTGACATTTTAAAATTAATGCATGTGTCCACGCTGGCTTGTGTGTATATTTAATGTATACACACACTTGATCTATAACCTAATGTTCACAATAATGAGAAGAGAAATCTAGGTACATGTATTATTTTGAACTATTCTCTATCATTCAAGCCGACAAAGAAGTCACGAGTCATTTCAAAACTCAACCAGCTGCTGGCCATACTAGGAGCAACTTTCAAAAGATTTGGCCCTATCCCCTTAAAGAGTCCACGTAGTCCCTCCTCAGCCACGATGACTCTCACAGCATCCCAGATCGAAGTGTATTGGTAACCCATTCCCGACATTGTGTTGATCTGGAATCGCCGACGTAGCACATCACTAAGAACAAAAGTCAGTTTCACGGCGTTTAGCTCAAAGAATAAAAGAACCGACAAAGGATAGGTACACGTCTGGGCGACTGCTCCAGAGACTGCACCAGCCAGTAATTTTCGATAGGAGCTAGGGTTTTTGTCCCCTTCCGGTGTTAGGTACTTGCGCACCGATTCGTAGGTCATGAAGTTGAGTCCCACCTGTCGTTTATCAGTTAGGTCCAAGTCAAATCACGATGACAAACTCACATATGGGGCTACTCCGGCAACAGTAGGAGTAATTCCACGATACAAAGCCCTTGTCCCACCTTCATTTTTATAGATCATAGCCATTGTGGTAAACATGCCTGGCAGTTTTTGGCTTGGGTCTCTTGCTCCAAGATCGGCAAATGAAGCGGATTGGATGGAAAGCCGGGTTCGAACAATGTCCAGAGGATAGGTGATAGTCACCGAGGTGATCCCGGCAACACCTCCACAAAAAAGGCGACTCGTTGGGGTCATCTCACCATCGGGAGACTCTACCAACTAGAACAAAGTAATGTCAGTGTGTATAAAACACTAATTCTGCAGGGGTAAGAATGGCCACCTACTTGCTTGTAAAAATTATAGCTCCCAAACTGTACTGCCGAGTAAGGGATAATGCGAATACAGTTTGTTCCATTACCTCGCATGAAGCCCCGCCAGCCTTCTTCCCGCCCCATCTTCACCAAGGCTTTCCATATTGACAATCTGTATTCTGTTCGACCAACACTTTGAACCTGAAGAAGAATTTTCAATCGTTCGAGTGGTGACACTATCGTTCTGGAAACTGCGCCAGCCACTCCACCAGCCATAAATGCAGCCACCACAGGTTCGGCGAGGTTCTTTCTAGTAAGAACCAAGATTGAGGGGGTTTGATCATTAATCAGCTCCTGCTTTAATCAACCAGTCAGCCTCCCAGCTCACATGGATGAGGGTTCTCCTTCTCACCTTGGCTGAATTTGAACTAGATGGAAACCTGGAGAGATTCCGCAAGGCAGGCTTTGCTGCGCCCTCTAATCTCTCTTTCTGAATAGAATCCTGTCGATCTAAGCTCATCTTGAAGATATGCACATCCGGTTTCACGGATGAGGTACAGAAATCCTGTGTTCTGTTGTGTAATGATTTCCAGCAATTCTATTAATCAAAAATGAAGGCTGATTTTGTTGCTGCGGATCAGATGCGATAAAGCACTTTTGGTGAAGTGCTAGCCATGAAGGTTGGTTGTTTCCCTAGGTTTGGTGATCTAAAAGCACATCTTTGATCTTGTGTCCAGTGGTGTATTGCTTGTTTCAATGTCCATATAACTGAGGTATAAAGGGTAATGTTGATAGTGGATTTGGCAAAAGGAGAAGCAAGGTCAAAAAGAGATGACTTTGCTATGATCAGATAGATGTTCAGTCGAATTTGCTTTTTTTTGGCCCTTCCCCCTTTTTCAATGTTGGTGGAAGATGTAGTTGAACAGGTGAAAAGGAAAGAAGAAACAACAAGAAGAAAATTTCCTCAAAAAAAGGGGTCTTAGATCACACAAGAATGAGTGGTATAGTTGGAGGGTCAAGGTGAGAGAAAGAGACGAACATCCCGACTTACCGAGACACGGTACCTCCCGATAGTCCGCTACTTGCATTACGTACCTACCTTGGTCCAGCTAACTACATAGTGCCCTGCATTGACATCAACACTGTAGATATTGTGAACAGATCAAATTTTGGTTTGAAGGATTTAAGCATTGGATACAGATGAATAATGATCACTGTGTTCCTCTCAAAAAAAAAAAAAAAAAAGAAAAATCCAAATCAATTGCGTCATTGGCAGGTTTGATACACCGTAGCACCTTCACTAATTCTTTCCTTGTGCTCCCCTCTCTCTTTCCCTTATGCTCTTTATCCTCTTGAAGCTTTTAAAGCTCCACCTCTCCTTTCAAAATTCTTAATTTTTTTTCCAACTGACCCAATCTTCTTTCTTTTCCATTGCTCTGTGCTAACGGCACCATGTCTTCTCGCTCTGGAACTACTCTGTATGTTACCGGGTTTGGCCATGGCACCCGTGCTCGCGATCTTGCCTACGAATTCGAACGGTACGTGTCGCCTCTACCTTCGCACCTACGAACTTCGATTCCCATCCTTCCGACGACCTCCCGATGAAGACTGTTGGCACTAAATGCCTTGGACGACGCTCTTCGTTCTTTCTTTCCAACTAGCGTGACATTGGCGTGGAAGCTTGTGTCTACGTTGCCCTGTCTCACTCCTCGGGCAACGGTTAGCTAGTCTTGGTCATTCCTCATCTTCATTTCTCTCAATACCGCTACCTGAAGCTAGCTCAACTGATTTTGGAACTAGTTATGGGCGTCTTGTTCGCTGTGATATCCCTGCCCCGCGCACTCCTTCCAGCCGACTGTAAGTTGAATAATGACAGCTGAAATCGCTTTATCTTTCTAATCTAAATCGCTTAGCTTCGCTTTTGTTGAATACGAGAGTCGCCGCGATGCTGATGATGCCTACCATGAGATGCACAACAAGCGTATCGGCCGCGATGATTTGTTGAAGATTGAGGTAATCATATCCTCCCCCACCCCCAAGGCTTTGTCATATATATCCTTTAACAAATTTCCAGTGGGCACGCACTCCTCCATCTGCTTCCTGGCGCTTTGACTCTGGCTCTGGCCGTGACGCTCCACGTGATGCTCCCCGTGACGCTGGTCGCGATGCTGGCCGTGATCGTCGCCGTGATCGCACTCCTCCTCGCCGTGGTCGCTCCCCATCCCCTCGTCGCAGCCGTGGTGGCGACTACTCCCCTCGTCGAGACGATCGGTACGAACGAGACACCGACCGCACCGACCGCGACTACGATCGCCGCGACCGTGATTCTGACCGCCGTGACCGTGATCACGATCGACGTGATCGTGACCGTTCTCGTGACCGCTCTCGCAGCCCCGATGACCGTGAACGTGATGGCAAGGATGACCGAGAAAGACGCGATGATGATAGGGAACGTCGCGAGGAGGACCGTGAGAACGGGCCCAACGGTGAGGACAGGAAAGGTTAGTAGCGTGAGAACCCAATCTAGAAAATGTTCTTTTCACTCACATACAGCAGTACCCCTGGACCCAATGCCCTCTGCCCATGATGAGCTTGATACTGCTGAGTAGATCAACTCAGAACTACGTCTATTCGCTCTCGACCCATGTCTCCCGTCGTCTGTTTTGTCTTCTGAAGGTTTTTTTCAATGCGGTTGTGCCAACTAGGGGGAGGGAGAAGACAAGGTTATCGCCCCAGTATTGCTCTTAATACATCCTGTGGCATATCTCGGTTCTCATCCCCCTTTGCCTATGTGTTTCTGATTCCAAATGGCGTGAAGCTTGCTCTTCGGGACAAGCTGGGGCTATGTGAACGTGTGACCCCTGCTTCCCCTTCTTTTTTTTTCAATTTTGCTTTTCCCCGAGTTATTCCCAACATTTCTTTCTTATCTTTGAGCTTGGTAATTTATCCTGGTCAGCAGCTCGGATCCCACCGAAGCGAACGTCGAACGATCGTTCCAAGTCCGCGCCCCAAATACCACGATGAATTCCGTTTCGCCCTTCGTCTTCGCAATTTAATTTGAAAGCGGTTATTTCAATTCCTCGCCCCCTTCGACCGGTCGCCATTCTATGTGGTGTTGTTTCTTTAAACCACTGTAGTGTCTTAGTTGTATGTGAGGTTGATGCTAATGGGGACCAGTTTGCAATCATTTCCACAGCTTTGTTAATAACGAAAAAAGCAACAGCATTTCTAAAATCCGATACATCTTGAAAGTTGCCCATTTCATAGCAATGACGTAGGGTATTCGGCGCGGGGAACAGTTCACCTGGGAGGGGGGGGCATCAAAGCAATGTGTTGCTACTTTTTCAACGTTCGGACACTTTCTACAACTAACATGAATTCAGCAAAAAAGACTGGAATTAGTATTGCAATCGATGTATTGGTCTTCTCCCCCTTTACTTGTTCAGAACACTGACATGGTAAAAGAGAGGCGGGACTTTTACCGATTGCGTTGGAAACCCAGGGACCGACCGCTTGGAAGATGATGTTGTGGTTAAACTTCTCTCAGACGATCCCAACAACTACAAAGATGCACCTTTGGAGGGCATCCGGCGGATTCTTTCCAACTTTACAGGTCACGACATCCCTCGTGGGGAACCCATCGACACTTCTTTGATCCAGAGCATCCGCATGGGTACAACGGTGGCAACAAATGCGCTGCTCGAGCGGAAGGGGGAAAAGGTAGCGCTGGTGGTAAGCAGGGGCTTTAAAGACTGCCTTGAGATTGGAAATCAGTCTCGTCCCAAAATATTTGATCTTGCCATCAAACGTCCCGATGTCCTTTACGAAGAGGTGATTGAGGTGGACGAGCGCGTCACTTTGGAAGACTACGCGGAAGACCCGCAACGAAGAACCACTGCCACCACTCTCCGGGAACAGACCCAGACAGGAGACGTTGTTATTCGCGGCCTTTCTTCAGAAGCAGTTCGCATATTGAAGCGCCCGTCCGAGGAATTGGTGAGATCGCAGTTGGAAGAGGCATACAGCCGCGGGATTAAAAGCATAGCAGTATGTCTTATACATGGTTACACCTTTCCAGATCATGAGGCACTGGTGGGAAGAATCGCCAAGGACATTGGTTTCCACCATGTGAGTTTGAGCCACCAGCTCATGCCGATGATTAAACTTGTGCCAAGGACCACTTCAGCTTGCGCCGATGCATATTTAACCCCTGCAATCAAGAAGTATATCTCTGCATTTCAAGCCGGATTTGAGGGTGGCCTAGGCAGTGAGAGTGTCAAAAAACAGGCAGGCGCCAAAGGCGCAAGCTGTGAGTTCATGCAATCGGACGGTGGTCTGGTGGACGTGGACCAATTTTCAGGCCTACGAGCAATTCTGTCAGGGCCTGCTGGCGGCGTGGTGGGATATGCGTTAACTTCCTACGATCCTGTGTCAAAAACGCCTGTAATAGGGTTTGATATGGGAGGGACGAGCACGGATGTTAGCAGGTACGGATCCGGCCGGTATGAACATGTCTTTGAGACAACCACCGCTGGCGTGACAATCCAGTCTCCTCAGTTAGATATCAACACCGTTGCTGCAGGTGGCGGTTCGAGATTGTTCTACCGTAACGGTCTCTTTGTTGTCGGGCCCGAGTCAGCAGGAGCCCATCCAGGGCCCGCATGCTATCGCAAGAGTGGACCACTCACAGTAACTGATGCTAATCTGTTTCTTGGGCGATTGGCCCCAGATTTCTTCCCGAAGATTTTTGGCTCAGGTGACACCCAGGGACTGGATGAACAGGCTAGTCGGGTGTTGTTTGAGGGACTAACCAAAGAAATTAACCAGAAGTTGATCGAAGGGGGCCATAACCGAGAAATCTACCCCGACGAGGTTGCCTTCGGTTTTATCAAGGTGGCCAACGAGACAATGACCCGGCCCATTCGATCTCTGACAGAGGCCAAGGGACATGACACCTCAAAACACAGATTGGCCACGTTTGGAGGAGCCGGGGGCCAGCATGCCGTTGCCATTGCCGAGAGCCTGGGGATTCGGCAGATTCTGATCCATCGGTATTCCTCGGTTCTCTCGGCATACGGAATGGCACTGGCAGACGTTGTTGATGAAAATCAAGAGCCTGAATCTAAGACCTGGGCTGATGATGATGATAATAAGGGGGGGGTTCGGGATGCACTTGGTTCGAGAATAGAAGAGTTGAAGAAACGATCCACGCAGAGGTTGCGAGACCAAGGCTTCAACAACGATTCAATCATGTTTGAAGAATACCTCAATATGCGATATCGAGGCACAGAATCTGACTTGATGATACTCAAACCCAGCAAGGAGGAGGCCGATCTTCACTTTGGGGGCGACGAATGGGCCTTTGGCAAGGCATTCATGAAGCAACACAATCAAGAGTTTGGTTTTACTCTTCCAGACCGGGACATCATTGTGGATGACGTGCGGGTGAGAGGAATTGGAAAAAGATTCAAAATATCTGAGAAGAACGTGGACCAGCAGATCGACGAATCCAACCCAAAGGATGTGACGATGGGCCAAGAGTATCGCAGATCTCTTGTCTACTTTGAGGGCGGCCGATGCGAAACACCAATCTACAAACTCGACGACTTAAAGGTTGGTGAGCGAGTGAGAGGCCCGGCGATTTTAGCCGATGACACCCAAACAATTGTGGTGACCCCAGGAGCTTCAGCGTTCTTGACAAAAACCCACGTCGTGATCAATATTGGTGAACTTGATGCCATCCAGGCAAAGATCAGCACCGACACTGTGGATCCAATCCTGCTGAGTGTCTTCTCGCACAGATTCATGGCTATTGCCGAGCAAATGGGACGTGCTCTACAGAAGACAAGTGTAAGTGCCAATGTAAAGGAACGACTTGACTATTCTTGCGCCTTGTTCGACGCAGAAGGCGGGCTTGTTGCGAATGCACCACATTTGCCCGTCCATCTCGGCAGCATGTCAACCTGTGTACGGAGACAGGCCTGGATCTGGCAAGATAAATTGAAACCCGGCGATGTAATTGTGTCAAATCACCCGGAATTTGGGGGAACTCATCTCCCAGATATCACAGTTCTGCAGCCTGCTTTTAGCCAGGGAAAGATCATATTCTACGTCGCCTCTAGGGCGCATCATGGTAAGAAGTTTCCCCCAAGTGAAAGAGAGAGGAGGGGGGGAAGATCAGGATTTTCTAACGTGCGTAAAGCTGACATAGGAGGAATACTCCCGGGATCTATGCCACCTCATTCAAAAGAGCTTTACCAAGAAGGTGCAGCCATCAAGAGCGAAAAATTGGTATCAGAGGGCAACTTTGACGAGAAGCGCATCACAGAATTGCTGTACAAAGAGCCGGCCCAGTATCCAAGCTGCAGTGGAACTCGATGCCTGGCAGATAACTTGAATGATCTCAAAGCTCAGATTGCTGCAAACAAAAAAGGGGCCAATTTGATCCGCATTCTAATCGAGGAGTATGGTGAGGCTGTCGTGCAGTTTTATATGCACCAGATCCAAGGCAATGCAGAGCTCAGTGTGCGCAATCTACTAAAGGATGCGAGCAAGAGATTTGCTGGTCAAGAACTGAGTGCTATTGATTACATGGATGATGGGAGCCCTATCCAATTGAAGATATCAATAGATGGGGAAAATGGGGAGGCAATCTTCGATTTTGAGGGAACAGGCCCGGAGGTACATGGTATGGTCGACTAGCTTGTAAGAACGAACTTAACGTTTGTTGAGCTGACGATGACAAGGCAATATCAATGCACCGGAAGCTGTCACATACTCAGCGATCATCTATTGCCTGCGATGCCTTATTTCAGCTGACATTCCTTTGAATCAAGGCTGTTTAAAGCCAATTGACGTTCGAATTCCTCCTGGAAGTCTTCTGTCCCCCTCGGAATCAGCTGCCGTGGTGGGTGGCAATGTTTTGACGGTAAGAATAGACAGATAATTACGTTGATCATGGGCTCATCGTTTTTCTCTTCACAGAGTCAGCGAGTGACCGACGTCATTTTGAGGTGCTTCCAGGCTTGCGCTGCATCACAGGGCGATACCAACAACCTCACATTTGGGTTCGGAGGGAATATACCCGGCGAGACAGAAACGAAAGGGTTTGGTTACTATGAAACCATTGCTGGCGGTAGCGGGGCTGGTCCGACTTGGGAAGGCGCTTCAGGGGTTCATACACATATGACTAACACCAGAATCACTGACGCGGAGGTGCTTGAGCGGCGGTACCCTGTGATACTCCGAGAATTCAGTCTTCGTCCAAAGTCAGGAGGTAATGGCCAGCACCGCGGCGGGGATGGCGTTGTGCGAGACATTGAATTCCGCATTCCTGTGCAAGTCTCTATCCTCTCCGAACGAAGGGTCTACCACCCATATGGATTAGAGGGAGGCGAAGACGCCCAGTGTGGTCAGAACATCTGGGTGCGCCACGTGAAAAAGAAAGATGGAAGCTGGAAGAACGGATACATCAACCTCGGCGCGAAGAATTCCGCTCAGATGCAAGCGGGGGAGCGGATCATTATCGGAACGCCCGGAGGAGGAGGGTGGGGTCAAATCGGAGACCATAACCGGCTTCTCCAAGAGAAAGATCATCGTGATGCTTGGTGGGGAGGTTCCATTGCCAAAAACATGGCGACGCAAGAGGCGAGTATGTGATCTATCGGGAAATTTATAAGTCCAGACCACCATGGTTTGGTTCAAACGGTCAAGATCAATTTGATTATGATGAAATGTGAGGGCCAGTTATGGGCAACTTAAATCAACTCTCAATTGCGATTATGCTTCACTCTCCTCATCACTTGTCGCTTCGATATTCTGCTTTGGGTTACTTTGGTTTTCCGAATGAGCCTCTCCTTGCTCTTCTTGATCAGATTGGTATCCCTCTGCGGAGTAGATAGGCCGAGGCAGAGTTTCCCCGTTTCCTTTTAGTTCCTGCTCGATCTCAGGTAGAATGGAGATGATGGCAGCAAATTGATCCACGGGCATTGAGATACCCTGAATTGGGAATGAATTTTAGCACGGTTTATGCAAACTCACTGACCAACTGACCTTTTTCCCTGGCAACTCCTGTCCGTTCTTTTCATAATACTCTCGGACATTCACCTGAGTTTTTCCACGGAAAGAAGATATGGTCACACGACGCATCTTAGATATCTCCCAGTAGCGGTCTCCATTAGAGTCGGTTTTGGCTTCCGGGCTGGTGTTGACCTTGGCCTTTTTGGGGCGAAAGCTATTGTCAAGCTGATCGCCTAACTCAGATGAACGTTTCCTAGTAGGCATGGCTGAGATGATCTCGGGAACCTGGTTGTGTGAAGGTTTAGAAGAGTAAGAAAGTGGGAATTTGTGTCCAAATCGGAAACGCGCGAAACGCGGAACACGTTATCACGTGAAGGCCGATCTGTGTGTGTTCATCGTGGATACAGTTCCTACTTTCTAGTCTTTCATTTGTGTATATTCCAAATCAAGCAGATAAATTGAATATCAGAGAGTCAATACCCTAAGGCCCTGTAGTAGAATCGAGAAGACAAATCCTCGAGCGACACTCTCAACTTGAAGACTATCAAAGATCTTCTCTAGCGCTTCTCGACTAGCAGCCGCTCCCATGACACTTGTTAAAGCTTGTGGGATTCCTCGCTGCACAAATAGTCTACGTGCAGTATCCCGTAACCGGATCTTCTCCTCCTCACTGGGTGGAGGTGGCCGGACTTTACGTTCCTCCTCTGTTGGAAGCGCATTCTCACGAAGTTTGACAAGGTAACCCCCTAGGGCGTCGTCTGAAGTGTGGCCTTCTATCATGGAATCTTGCAACAGAGTACGAACAGTTTCCAATGTCGGGCTTCCGGGACGTAGGATATACGATTTGGCAGCATTCAAAAGGGTCCGGCGTATGTTCCACGCAGATGACAAGGTGTACAACTCATTGATAACCGCAAAGATCAGCTCTACTGCTATCTGCGTCTCATCGGCTGTGATGGGATTCCCCTGCTTGTGGGGTTGATCAATACTCTGCCCAGTCTCTGATCGGCGATGTGATGAGGTTTGATCAATATCTTCCGTTGTTTGGATGTCAGGTTCTGTAATGTGATCACTGATATCAAGCGAGGTTTTAGAGGGTGAGATCTCGGTGTTCCATGCAACTTGCTCATTCCCAAAGGACTCTCTGGTACTGTCGATCGAAGATGACTTGGAAATTCCATCTCCTTGGATTTCCAAGGAGTCCCTAGGGTACACCACAGACGACTGAACGTTTTTGTTGCTTACCCCGGTACGATCACCAAAGCTAAACAGTGCCTGCGAAAAACTGGTGCGACTGGATTTATCAGCTTTAGGTTGAACCTGATCAGTAGTGACGGCTGATTTCTTGCTATTGGCGGTGCCTCCGAAAACCCCCGTCATTCCTTCAAAGACGGCTTTACCGCTCCCTGCCACACCCTTGGGCGCATTGGCTAATGCACCCAGCATACCCTTGCCCATGTTTTCAAACGCAGATTGACTAGGGAAAGAGAATACCGGTTTGTTAGGACCGACGGGTTCAGTGCAAGAACCTGCGTCTTTCTCCAAAAATCGGTGCATTCGATCAGTGTCGGCAAGTGACTCATGCCTCATGGCATCTTGTAAATACCGCTCAAGCTCACGGGAAAGAGCTTGTCGTGTTTTGCCTTTCCAGGTGGGCAGTGTGGGGTGACGCTCCGAGAAACTTGAAATTTGATTCAATCGTGAAACAGTGCCCAGCATCTCGTGAAGAGACTGGAAGTCCGAATATTTACGAAACACCATCCATCCAGTCGAGCGTGCTGACGCTGGTTCGATCTGTAGTAGATAATCCCACATTGGTCGCGACTTGATTTGTCCTTTTTCATCCCTCGCTCCGTCGTCATCTACCAGCACTTGTGCCCCATGAAGAATCAAAGGTGGCACAGAAGAGTCTTCGGATAATTTCGGGCTTGCAAGTGATTTCACATCGGGCACTGGACCCTGGTCTTCGTGGCATTCGTTTTCATGGTTCGTCTTTGAAGCCAAATCGGCTGTCAAAGTGTAGTTTTCATCATTTTGTTCGTTTTGGCGTGGCCGTTCTGACTCTGGGCTCTGCATATCATTGGATGCAATCATAGCGCTTAGACGTTTCACCTCTAGAATCGCTTCTTCCTCTGTAGCCTTTGCCACATGCATAGACTCTCTCTGTGTGGCTTTAATTGAATCCGCATTTGAGTCTTCTGAGGGCCTGGGAGCACTGATGCCCTGGTTCCGCGCACCTTCAACGCCTGCGTCGATAGCATGCATGATTTTGGATTCGCCGCCCTGCAGGAGATGTATAATCCATTCATTGATAAATTCAGGGCGGGCAAGACTGGTAACAGTGGACCCCAAGATCACTCCCGCAAAGACCTCACGGAGGAAGTCCCGCACAGCTGGACAATTGTATGCCTTGGCATCCAAGAAATTCGACAGTATGTCATCCGCAATCATGCCAAGTTTCTTCTTTTGTTGTTTCTCAGACAAGACATTCGCTAGGCTGCTATCCGGAAATTGTTCAAGGTACTGATCCACAGTTTTTTGGGTTTCTATCGGAGAAGAGCCTACAGCGGTAAATGCTGCTGCAAGTTCATTCAAGAATACAATAACGATCGATGAAGAGTTGGTGAGAAACTGTAAGAATATATCCTCTGTCCGTTTCCGCGACAGATGCGCGGAGACCGATAAAATGAAATGAGTCAAAATTCTTCGACAGGAGCCTGGGAAACTTGATTCGGACGGTAAAAGTGAATCATACCAGTTTCTTTATTTGGTAAATGAGCTACTTGTTTCAAAGCGGAAGAAGGCTGTATAATTGAGGGATACTTACTTGACATGGTTATTAATGACTGCATCGGTGAGTATTCTCAACGCAACAGCGGTGGCCGGTTGGAAGGTCGCATATTCCAAGTCTGCTGAGGAAATATCTTCAATTGTACTTATAAAATCGTCGTATTCCCCTTGGACGCCTGAAGCACCAGCCCGCTTTGGCCAGTCCAAAAGCCTGTTGGAGACTTCCAGCGCAAGTTCTCTACGCCTGTTAAATTTTTGCGCGTGCGACGTTTGGTGTGGGTGTTCATCATCCGATCCCTCCCAGGACGCGTGCAGGACAACCCCCACAGCTACTCCAATCAGAAGCAGACCGATTCTCCCCAGGATAATGTAGTTGACGAGCGCAAGAAGCGCAAAGACTCCAAGGAGGGTCTCATTGGTAGAGGCTGAGAGGAAATTGAGGGTAGCATTGATGAGCTCCTTTGAAATCGCTGGATTCAAGATGGGATTTTGCGTCGGGGGGTTATTGTGGTTTTTGCTGGATGGAGATGCTGCAATGACTTGGGAGTCTGCATCATCACTGAGGCGACTCATTGTGCCGAGATGTCCCAGAGTTGGAGGGGTTCCAGAGTAATTATGGTCAACCCTCCATGTCCAAGATCAACTATGTCCTTGTAGAATCTGTGTAGACAATTTGACATGGATCAATAAGGACAAGAAAATACGGAACCTATGAAAATGCTTGGCGTTCACAGGTGGCCAGTGCGCACATAGTCAAAAATGATAAACACAAAATGTCGAGAGCAGTTAGAATTCAAAACAAATGTTGAAGCCAAATATGTGAAAATTTAATTGAATGTATCCAATCATGATTTCCTTACAAGCATGAGCTATATAGCAAGGAATCTAAAGCTAACAGAAAGGAGTTGATCTTCGCTATCCGAGTGAATCTGAGCATTCAAAGAGCTTGCATTTCATGCCAGATGTAAAGAGATTGCGGTTGGGAGGAGATTAAAAAAAAAACAGGGTGCACTACAAGGGATAACGATCCGAAGACTCGTCGTTATTACAAGATGGTCGTCATGTAGCCCATGGGCCACAAAAATCACCAGTCCTGTTGTGGTTTTCATTGTGAGATCGGTGCTGGAATCCAAGGCATAAAATTTCAACCCCATAAAGAAGAAATTCATGAATAGACTGTGGGAGAAAGAGTGCACTCCAAGAGCTTTTAGACCTCCTATTGTTGGATGATCATGTTGAGAGATGCTTATGGTCAGAAAAAAGGATAAGAAAGAAAAACGAAAGAATTTGAAAGAATTCTTTTATTGAAGAATTTCAGATTACCTAATGCTTAGCCGACAACCACTTGACACTAGTCCCACTTGGCCTACATGAGTTCTTGCGAAGTACTTGCTAACCCTGGAAGAATCCTACCCAAGTAGAGTCCTCTAGGGCATTTACATAAATACATCCATCGTGCTCAAGACTCTTCAAACAGTGTATTTTTGTACTTGCTTCATCTACGTGATTGTCTTTGCTTATGCCTCTGTTCTCTAGAAAGCATCTGGGAAAGCATAAAGTGATTGACATCCTCATCTCCCCAATAGGTGAGATGACTGGCAATGCTGGCTATTAATGAAATGTCGAAGGCTCCCCTATTTTCCTTTTAGCAAGGCTCAATAACGATGGGAATAGGGTCTTACTCTTGGATACTGTAGTCCACACGACCGTTTGCATTTAAGGCACGCACTTTAGCGTCCTCGAGTTTCAGCCTCCGGTCCTGGTCAGTGTCGGCGGTGGGATCCGGGCTCTCGCCGTGATGGGCACTCCTGCTTTTTTGGAAACCATCGTAAAGAGTTTCCAGATCGGATTCAATCAACGTCTGATAGTGATAATCGGAGCCATCGGGCCCCTGCTGAATTGAGCCTGCCTGTGACCGTCTGTTGGTTGATCCGTCACCCGGTTTACCGAAAGTGCGAGCAGCTGATGACGCGTCATCGCCATTAAGACCCAAGCTGCGATTCAACAAACTGCTTGCGACACCCGAAGTGAAATTTGTCCACAGAGATCCCACACTTTGGCCCATGCGGCTACCGAGAATAGATAGACTCTGACCCGGGGTCGTCCAGAGGCTTTTCTTCACCGAGGGTAGAGACTGGGGTTTCAGCGTTGCCATCACTGGAGATACCAGGGGCTCGATCCGGTAGCCCACCGGGTCGGAAGGGTGGAAGATGTTGTAGAGATCTCGACATTTTGGCGTTGAGATAACGCCTGGATTGTCGCTGAGCGCATGTCCAGGACCATGCGAGTCCAAGTCAATCTCAACGTCCAGCGCATTTTTGCGATTTCGGGGATCCAATGCAGAATGTCCACCAACCGTCTTACCCTTGAGCATCTGAAACAGTGCAATGGGAGATCCCAGACAAAAAAACTCTTCGCAGTCGAAATCAAACGCGCTTGAACTCTTGGGAGTTGAGTCGTCACTCTCTTGGGCCATTCCCTTGGACGCACCATTCGGTCCGGCATTGGCTCCCGGTTGATGACACAATATATCAAATAGAATCGCGCTCCCGAGTGAATGGCCACAGAGACTGACTGACCCCTTGAAAGAAGGATTTTGCTTCCGGTACAGCCGGACGATTCGATTACATTCTTGGATGACAATATTGGAGATATGTTCACAATACCCACTTTGGTAAAGAAGCACATCCATAGCTAAATCTGAGATGAGGTTTCGAACAGCGGGTACACTTTCCAGGGTTATGTCGGAAAGGCTGGGGTAAGCATCATCCTCGAGAGCGTCTGCATCAGTGAGATCCAGTTCTTTTCTGTTCTGTCGAACTGCCCGGTAGGGAAAGTCTAAAAGATGACGCCAGCACCTGCTGAAATTAGCAAAAAGAAATGCCGAGCAAAGGAATCAGTCTTACACAGGAAGCACCTGAACACGGCAATTCTTATCGCTGTCTGGGAGCGCTGAGTTCAACGCTTGAAGGTCAGGCGAACCTTTATAGACAGTTTTCAGTGTCTTGCGAAGAACATTTACATCATGTATGAAATTGATGCTTTCCAGTCGTAATCCGAGTCGCTGGCCGATTCCATGGGTGACAAGAACTAGGTGATTAACCTCGCGGTCTCTGTCCGCGCCGTCCACTTCCCTCGACTCTTCCATCTCCTGTTCCTCCTGCCTACGAGCCTGTTCTTCAAGGTCAGCTGGATTTTGCGGCTCGCCTGCAAGGGAGGACATTTGGCGTTCTAATGTTGATTTCGGTCTACTTCCGTAGTTCTCGAGTTCATCAGCGGAGGCTGACTTGAGGATATTTTTGGCATTTTCTGTCTTTTCTTTGAAAACATCATTCAAACCTCCGGCAGATGTTGATTCGCCCTGTGGTTTTTGTTTGGAACCCTTTGCCTCTGGTGTCTCTCTTGGTTTTCTGGGCTCGAAACCGCGAACCAACTTCGTCCCAGGGACACCCCCTAGCTTTTGATACACCGAAGTACTGAAGCGTGACATGAAATCATCATTCATCAGCCAGGCCGTTGTGGAATCTTGATAGCCGACTGTCCTGTTCATGTAAGCGCCAAAGAGACGATACTGCTGAGGCTCCACTGCACTTGGACTGTTGAAATCATTCCATGTACCACGGGGAGGAGAGTTCCGGCTGGTTGATTGAGCGGATTTGGGATCTGGCTCACGGGAGTTGATTGGCACGCTTTTGGTCTGACCAGATCTATCTTCTTCGTGTGTTTGTGAATTCTGTTCTGATGGCTGGGACCTCCATGGACACAGTTTGATATAGCCTTCTTCAAGCTGGGTAGCAAGATTTTCTTCACATGGTTTAAGGCTAGATCCGTCCTGAATGAACCACGTTCCACGACGGACTTCATATACAGGGCCAATCCAATACGTAGGACTCAACTCTCGTTGTTCCACATCCACATTGAAAAGATAATCCTCATTCACGGGCACTTTGGTCAATACAGGGTTGCTGTTGTTTGGCTGGTTTGGGCGGGCGTCTTCGATATCCGAGAGTTTCTGAAATGTCGTTTCGATGGACTGTGAGTCTTTCCCTTGAAATGGTATGAATTTCTTCGGTGATAGCAAGGGCTTTTGATCCGCCTTCTTCTGTCCCACAATAGATGGTTTCCGCTTGGGCGAGTCCACTGCGTAGAACCACCTGACTTTCAATGGAGGACAATCGGGAGGATAGCGTCGCATGCTTAATCGATGCGTGTGGGTAACCGTGTGGTCCTCCCCCTGCGACCGCTGCAGGACATCTGGTTTTTGGTGATAGCCAGACTGCGGTGTTGGAGTTGAACTTCTTGATGTACTCCATGGAGTGAGTGTCCCCAGGAATGACTTTTGCTCTGCAGCCGCCATGGCAGGAGCGCCCGTCTGAAGGCAGCGAAACGAACCAACGTGAGCAGCTGGATTGAGGAACGATGGAAGGGTAGGTGAGATGAAAGATAAACAGGTGGAAGGTGAATTTAAAATGAAACAAGAAATAGAGACGTGTCCATAAGGCGCCAAAACCTGATAAACTGTTGGAAATGAACGTTTTCCAATGTTTTGGAGATCGGAAATGATGTAATCTGACATTTTGGGGTATGCAATTACGTTATACGTTGTATGCCATGGTTAGTTACCCCGTGGACCCAGTATGCATCCATAGAGATACCAACCTATACTTTGTATGTAGTTCTAAATTTCTAGATGAAGTCTCAAAGCCAACTGACTCTTTTTGTATGTTATGTAGAAAAATTTAAGGTTTTTTTATTCATTTTATGTACATAGAGTTGGGGCTCTAAACTGTGGACTTGTAAGTCAAATTCAGCGTACTCCGTACATGGCTTAACTTGGTCAATAGAATGGGCCTAGAACAAAGAATAACGGAAATTCCGATAGGGTTCTAGCTTGTAAAGAAAAGAAACAAATAGGCAGAACAGATAACTGAAAGTTACAAAGATTTTATGAGAAAACACAAAAATACGCACACACTGCACACGTTGTGGATGTGCCTGTGTGTTTGTAAGGTGTCGACGTCATCCAAAGACCTTCCCGAATACGATAACTAATACGAGAACACACCTTTACTGACATAATACTTACGCACCCCCAAGAAAATACCGCCAGCGTGATACACTCTGTATGGTTTACCAAGTATTTTCATTACGGTGTGGCCCTCCCCCCCACTCCTCGGTTCGTGTATACCTGGCTGCCTTTCGCCCTGCACTGCCCACCTTTAAGCACGGATCGGATTTCTTCAGGTCATTTGCTTTCCTTACCTCTTGACAATTGATCCGTTTAGGGTCTAAACACCTACTTCCTGTTTTTTTTTTTTGTATTTTGTCGAACCTTCCCCCATCTTCCCCTGGGTGATCACCCCCACCTATTTTGCCCTAGGGTTGTAACACTGACAAGATGAACGCCCTCAAGCTTCAGAAGTACGTTTCCTCGCTATTCCATGTAACCAGTTGCTGACCATTGTGATTACTACAGGCGTTTTCCGCAGCTTGATCAAGGCGAGATTTTCTCACTCCAGGATGCATTCAACAGATTGGATGTCGAAGACCGTGGCTACCTTGATGAATCTACCGCAATCAAAGCTGCTCAACAATCAGAACGCCAGCCGTATGATGTAGTGCGTGCAGCTTTGAAGGATGTGGAACTCGATAGCTCCCGGCGCGTGGAACTCGAAGATTATGTTGATGTAATACAACTGCCCCGCTCCCATTTCTCATCCCGCTGGTGTTAACGCTACTGCAGCTCGTTTCGAAGCTTCGGAAAGCACCCAATGAAGGTGCCCGCGCAGCAACTACCCCTGCGGCCGTCATCCAAGGAGCTGGCGCTGGTGCCGGAGCATCTCGGCATGTCCCTAAGGGCAGTGTGGGTGGACGAATCCATGTCCAGGGATCATCATCCAATGTCACACATACGATCAATGAAGACGAACGAACCGAGTTCACGCGGCACATCAATGCCGTTCTAGCGGGTGATGCAGACCTTGGCAACCTCCTCCCTTTCCCTACCGACACATTTGAGATGTTTGACAAGTGCAAGGATGGCTTGGTCCTGGCAAAGTTGATCAACGACAGCGTACCAGACACCATTGATGAGCGTGTTCTGAATAAGGCTGGGAAGAAGATCAAGCAGCTGAACGCTTTCCACATGACCGAGAACAATAATATTGTCATCAACTCTGCCAAAGGTATCGGATGCTCAGTTGTGAACATTGGAAGCGGGGATATCATTGAAGTGCGCGAGCATCTCATCCTGGGTCTTATCTGGCAAATCATCCGCCGTGGTCTTCTTGGAAAGATTGATATCAAACTCCACCCGGAGCTTTATAGGCTTTTGGATGAGGATGAAACTCTGGAGCAGTTCTTGCGCTTGCCTCCAGAGCAGATTCTCCTTCGTTGGTTCAACTATCATCTTAGGAATGCCAAGTGGGACAGACGGTATGCCTGCCCCGATGAAGAAACGGAGAATGACATGTGGCTAACTGATTTAGGGTGACAAACTTCTCTACCGATGTCAAGGATGGCGAGAACTACACAGTTCTCCTTAACCAATTGGCACCCGATGTTTGTTCGCGTGCCCCTCTCCAAACTCGAGACTTGCTTGAGCGGGCTGAGCAGGTCCTTCAGAACGCCGATTCGCTTGATTGCCGCAAGTTTCTGACCCCAACCTCATTGGTTGCCGGAAACCCCAAGTTGAATCTTGCCTTTGTCGCCAATCTGTTCAATACCCACCCAGGACTGGATCCGATCACCGAAGAGGATAAGCTCGAAGTTGAAGACTTTGACGCTGAGGGTGAGCGAGAGGCCAGAGTCTTCACTCTGTGGTTGAATTCGTTGGATGTGCAGCCGGCGGTCAACTCGCTCTTCGATGACCTACGCGATGGCTCTATTTTGTTACAGGCATACGACAAGGTCGTTCCTGGAAGTGTAAACTGGAGACATGTCAACAAGCCACCAGCGTCTGGTGGTGAATTAATGCGGTTCAAGGCCGTTGAAAATACCAATTATTCGATCGAGCTTGGGAAACTTAACGGTTTCTCTCTTGTCGGCGTTCAGGGCGCTGATATCACCGATGGCCAACGAACCCTCACTCTCGGACTGGTGTGGCAGCTGATGCGTCGTGATATCACCAACACACTCTCTGCACTGGCCCAACGGCTGGGCAAACGCGAAATTACTGATACTGAAATGATCCGCTGGGCCAATGACATGTCTAGCAGTGGTGGCAAGTCTTCCACGATACGCAGCTTCAAAGACAAGTCTATTGGATCAGGAGTCTTCCTCCTCGATGTGCTCAACGGCATGAAGAGCAGCTATGTGGACTACGATTTGGTTTTGCCGGGTCGGACCGACGAAGAGGCATACGCAAACGCTAAGCTTTCCATCAGTATTGCCAGAAAGATGGGTGCCACCATCTGGTTGGTCCCGGAGGACATTTGCCAAGTTCGGTCTCGTTTGGTCACTACCTTCATTGGTAAGTTCATAATTTCATCGGCATGGCAGGAATTTCGGCTTCTAACAGATGATAGGTTCCCTTATGGCTACCCACGAGAAGATGTAAGAAATACAATGGTTCACTTTGGCCCATTGTTGTGGCATTGTATACCTTTTTTTGTCACCTCCAATCCATGTAAATCTGCTGCTCCTCAAGGCGATCCTAACCAAGTGTGGATTCCAATCAAAGTTTTATTGTTGCCACGCTTAATTTTTGCCTCTCCGATTGATTTAAGGTACTGATCAAACCATGCGACCGCCTGCAAAAAGGCAAGCTCTTTGGCAAAACGGATTGTTGGCACAGTGACATCTGCGCGAACAGCAAACCCATTCTCAATGCCACTGGACAAGTTGATCTGATACGGCTGGCCGGTCTTGGTCAAGATATCCTCGGCTTTGTGGCATTTTGAGGCGGGAAAGATCGAGTCGGTTTCTATTGATCTCCAGCCTTAGACGATGTAGTCGGATCGTACAATAATTTACAGCCGCAGCAATGGACAGCGGGCCTTGGATTACTTGTAGTTCCCCTGCATCAACGAAACTGGGATGTGCCACATGGACAATATCGCATAGACCTCGGGAGTCAAGAGAGGACTAGACATTAGGGGGGAGGGGGTGCGTTATTAGAGCTCATGCCGATCCAAATCGGCGATATAAACACGCGTATCTTTGTGTCTCGAGAATATTAACCATACACGATTTGTGTCAAATTAAACCAGACGATCAGGTATAAGCTACACCCAAAACTGGGCCCTATAAAGATGCCCAGTCAAAAGACAATTCTTGCCCAACAAACGGCAACCTCGCATCAGGCCCAGCCTAGCGCAAGAAGCGGTAGTTGAGACATCTGAAGGAGTAGTAGGTAGCCTGGGAGCCGCCGGAAGATACACAGCATGAGCAGCTCGTGTTTCGTTTGCGATCAATTTCCGATACTGCCCTCATTAGCTTCTACCCGTGACCGAATGAAAAATGAACCTCCAGTAGATGACGAGTTGTGGAGCTGTGGTTCCTGAATGGGATCCGGGGAAATCGAAGCGTAGAATTTCGTGAACAAAACAAACAAAAAGTAAAGGTCTAAGAAGGTCAAGATAAAAAGTACAACATAGGGAGAGATACAAAAAGCTGTGGTGAAATTTTGCTTCCCCGCCTTAGCTCTCTGTCTGCCACTTGGAAGATTTGGTCTTGTCCACTTGTTACCATCCATTGATCTTTCACTGGACAATGGATACACCACAAACACCCCAAGTTCGGGTCCCTGGCGAAACCCCTGAATCAACCCAAAAGCCCAATGCGACTGCCACTGCGAACCACAATTCTGAGGTAGAGATGGGAGGAACACAGGGCACAAGCCAACCGGACCCCGAACCTGCGCAAGAAGATTCAATACTTCCAGATGTGCAGGCAGAGTTAGAGGCCGCTCCGACAAAGAAAATCTCGGGCTTCAACTTCCTTGAGTGAGCTTTCTTTTTCCCAGCCTTTGCGAAACAATTCTCTCTTCGGAATGGTTTCAACTTCCATCATCCCAATCGTTACTCATGGGCTCATAATCACTAATAGCTTCCTGACTTCACCTATCGTGGAGATAATAGTTGGGAAAGGCGATGATGAGACCGTTATGACAGCTCATCAATCCCTCCTAATGGAGGCACCACTACTAGCCGAGTTTGTTACGAAATTTGAAGCGGCAGGCCCGGTGAGTTCATTCGTTCATATCCGTCCCCACGTAAAATTCTTATACTGACTAGTTGTGATTAATAGCGACGTATTGGTCTACCAGAAGAGGACGTCGATGCCTTCAGTTGCTTCCTCCAGTTCCAGTATACGCGGGATTACACCGTGGTTCAAACCGAAACACCTGGGGAAATAGCTGATGACAAAAGCGGTGACGAGTTGCTACGTCATGCGCGCGTCTACACCCTGGCAGAGAAGCTGGGCCTGCCACCGCTCCAGCGCATTGCCCATGCCAAGATTCATAAGGTCCGGAGCTCACCTAGCGCGGAGCTTTCATATGCCCGTTACGTGTACACACACACACCAGCAGCAGACACTATCATTCGGAAGCCCGTGGCAACTTACTGGGCGAATCAAAGTCATGTGCTGCGCCAGGAGGTTGGGGATGACTTTAAGAGGCTGTGCATTGAAGTGCCGGAGTTTTCCTTTGATGTTTTGACTATCATTCTGGATCGCAAGCTGAAGAACGGGTCGGGGGATGAGAGCAAGGGAAGTGCGCGCAAGCGTAGAAGGGACATCTAGCTATTGCTAGTTGTACAATCACAAATCCGAAGATCAACGACGTCTCCCTATCATAATTTAATATGAACGTCCCCGAACAGCCCAGGGGCACAATCCAGTTGATGGCCGCAGAGGGACTGATTTTTATAAGGCTAGGCTCTCCACCTCTTCAATGAGTTTCGGCGCCGTGGTCAGATTCTCAGAACCGTCCTTGGTGATATGGATGTTGTCTTCGATGCGCACTCCTCCTACACTCCAATACCGCTCCAAGACTTCGGTATCAATGTACTTACCGGTCTCGGGTGCCTTTAAGACGGGATCGATGATGAAGCGACAGAAATAAATCTGATAAATCGTAAGAATTGGGGGTTTGGGGAAGAGGACACTCAAGGGGTAGTACTTACACCCGGCTCAACGGTGACCACAGAGCCAGCAGGCAGGTTAGCGCGAACACGCAGGTAGCGGAACATGGTATCATTGTCCTCGTAGTTGGGATTGCCACCGGTATCATGAGTGTCCATTCCCAGGTAGTGACCGAGGCCATGGGGGAAGAAGGCCACGCTGACACGCTTCTCGAACAATTCGTCCTCGGATCCGCGTAAGATACCCAGTTTCAACAAACCACGGATAGCAATGCGATGTGCCAGCGCGTGCACGTCATCCCAACGTACGCCTTCCTTGAGCATCGCGATACATTCCGTCTGCATCTGGAGGACAATCTCGTAAATCTGACGGGTCTCAGGCGCAAACCGTCCATTCAAAGGGATAACACGCGTGATATCGGCACAGTAAGTCTTGTATTCACCGCCAGCATCGATGAGAACATTATTCTTCCGCTGCTGAGTGATAGGGTCGACTAGGTCGACGTCGTTTCTGACATAGTGAAGAGTAGCACCCCCCTCTCCTCCAGCAACGATGGGATGGTAGGACTGCTCACGACATCCATTGGCGATGCAAGCGCCGATAATGGCAGCTTCGATCTCACGCTCATTAGTCGCGGTCTTGGAGGCCTGGATAGCAGCGATGTGCGCTTTGGTCGAAATATCATTTGCCTTTCGCAAAAGTGCAACCTCGTACGCATCCTTAATGACACGAGTCTCTTCGATGGCAATCTTCAAACTGGCAGTGTTTGTTTCAGCGAAGCCCTGGAAATTCGTGCCCTCTGAAATTTGTTCGGCAATTGCAAAAGCAGCAAATTGTTCCTTGTGGCTCGAGGCGATCGACGCCAAAGTCGAATTCACATCGGTTGTGAACAAAACGCGGTCCACATCGTAGAGCTTGGCAGCCTCCTCGGGAGAGAGAGGAAGACCAGACCAAATGACTGAATCTGGGTCGATGGGTGGAATGAACAGAGTCAATTCATCTTTGATGGCATCGTATACCACGGCGGCATTGGGCAAAAGACATCCAGTGAGATAGAAGAACGGACGACGTTGCCTAGACCGGGTAAGTGTTAGTCCAAATCCTAGAGGAGTGCTTCCTTACCTGAATGGCATGTCCTCATCGCTATCCTCGATCAATCGAGTTTTTTGAGCCTCAAGGTAGACAACTCCCACCCCGCCATGCCGGGCCTTGAGAGACTCAGCGACACGACGAGCATGGGCCTTAGCCGGATACTTGGCAGCGAGAATGGTATCCACAGCAGTCATGTTGAATACACCGTCCGGAGGAAAATAGTAAAAGAGAAGAGAAGAGAGTGACAGATGTCAGGCAATATTTACTATCGACGAGGTTACATGGGCGGGGCTTTGCGGTCCAGAGGGTCCAGAGGATCTGCCGCAGAGAGAAAAGAAACAAAAAGACTTGACACATTCACACCTGTGAGAATTGATGCATTTAATTATTCGGATGATTCAAGTTATTCACATTACTCGGATTGTCCGGATTATTTATTCGATATCTCCAAAGCTAGCTCTCTGAAGCAGATACATCCTCAAACTCCATCTCCCATTGGTCCACTTCTGCAAACTTCTTGACTGCCGCGCGCAACTCATCGCTCACACAACGAGTGGCCTCTGTTTCCATAGATTCAGAATCAGAGATGTCGGAATCAGGTGGTGATGACAATGGAGAGGAGGATGGTGATGATAGAAGTGTTTCGTTCTCTTTGTTGACACCCCCTTGAGAACGTGAATATGTAGCTGGTTCTTTTACGACCAACGATTTGTCTATGGTCTTCTTCTCTTCCCTCTTCTTCTGCTTCGGGTTGCGGGTGTTGGAAAATGATTTAGGCTTGCTTTTCCTTGCCCGTTGTCCGTATGATCTTTGTGATGGGTAGTTCAGCTCGTCCTCGTCCCCAGATGCGGCGTCATGCGGATCATCGCTTTCGTCACTGTAATCATTGGCGGCGCGGAGTCTGCGCCGCCGACGTGGTAAAAGCTTCTCTTGCAAGTTTGCCGTCGATAGATGATTTGGTACTTTGGACTTTTTCCTCTGAACAGGTCGCGGTGTGGGGTCACCAGGTGTAGCGGAACCAGCAGGACTGCTGGCCGGTGGCAACATAGTCTGGCTCATTATCTCTGGGAATTGTTGGGATTGTGGCGTAGCCTCGACTGTTTCAATCTCGACTTCCTGATCTCCAAATTCCTCGCTTTCGGGTTCAAATTTCTCGCCTTCAATGTCGTGTCGAGAGTCGCCGCGTTGTATCGGTGTCGCATTTGAAGTATCTTCTACCATATCCACAGGCGACTGTGGTACTTGAATCTCTTGGGTCATGCGTTTGCGCTTGCGCGATCCGCCGGACGAGAGCGGTGATTCGGACGATAATTCGGACGGTGACGGGGATGACTTCTCAGTTGACGTGATAAGTAGTGACTTCCGTGAGAGATTGAGTGGTGTTGATTCATCATTGGGGCTAAGTCCACCAAGGAAGTCATCATCATCGAGATCGGAAGAGCCATCGTCGTCGGCTTGCATCATCTGCAGGATGCTTTGCTGTCGCGGTCGCCGTCTGAAGTTGCTCAAAACTGAGTTATCAAACCCAGGAGTTCCAGGAGCCCGGGATATTGTATCGCCTTTGCGTCCGGCGAATGATAGCGTAGAGGAATAACCGCGCGATCTTGTAGGCGGACGACTGCCGGTTCCAGGTCGACTGCCAGTGCCCGGCCGGTCCCCCGCGGGTGAAGATTCAATTGCTTGTTCATGACTTTTGGTCAATGGTGTTTGACTGCGTAGATCCTGCCTCAGATCCAAGGTTGAGCCGCGCTCAGGCTGCACAGGCGATTTGGCGATCTTGGGGTCAATTTGTTGCGCTGAGTTTTCTATCGCGGCTTTTTTGGGCTGAGTCTTTCCCACTGTACGACTTCGTTTAGGAGCTGGACGAGGCATGATTGAGCAAATTAATTCGAGGCAACGGAGTATGTTTACGGTGCCAAAATGGTTGCACTACAGATGCGAAAAAGAAGATCGACGCGTTTGTTTGGGACGCGTGCACGTGGACTACATGTGACATCAAAATTGAGACAACGAACTGACAGATGTTACTTCGTCTACGGAGTGTATTTCGTGCATATGCCGATAGATATATGTATTTCCATTTTTATATCCACTAATTTGATTGTGCTTTTCTCGTCTCGCATTTTCCCTTCCAATGCCACAGTCGCAGTGTTGTATGCACAACCTGCCACGGACTCAACCTCTTTGTCTCTACTCATCTTCAAGTATGGTCTTGATGCCTGTCATGTCAACCAACCCCTTGGTTTGGAGTGAAATGCGACATTAAATACATCTGGACACAATCTAGGCTTTGAAAAATGACCTCACAAAACCTGAGACGGTAGATCCCACGGGGGACTATATAGTCAGCGATACATCCATCGGCAAGAAAAAGCGCTCAAATACAGAAGCTGCTGAATATCCCAGGAGACGGGCAACAATAGCTGTAAGCGCCTCTGGCAAATTTGAACCAGGGCAAAATTTGACTTTGATTCAGTGTCACACATGTCGACTGCGCAAGACCCGATGCAATGGGGCTCGTCCCAAGTGTCAACTATGCTCCGATTTGAATGTGGAATGTGTCTATCGAGTACCTGGTGTCAAACTCGATGCGGGCGAAAAGCTGACCCTAGATCATTTGGCAAGAATTGAGAGATTTCTACATTCAAATTTACCAAACCAAGAGTCACATCTAGCCATGTCCGCCATTTCTCCGGCCACCAGCAATGATACAAAACTCGGGACTGACGAACCGTCAACGAAATGTTCATCCAGCGGATTGCTGGTCCATGGAAGATTGTCGGCTGTTGGGCTTGGTTCCTGGGTCAACTTACCTGCCAGTTTCAGCATCTCTACGATGCCCAAGATGCATACTACTTCTGCTCTTCATCTCCTCCAGTGGCCCCTTATTCGGGGCTTGGTCTCTGGGGCCTGTGATCCACAGCATCTTCTTCAATTGGAGATGGCCCGCGAGCCATTGAAGCTGACTCCAAATTCAGGCTTTGATTTGACAAATGCCCCCACTTATGTTCAGGCATTTTTCAACTATGGAAACGTTTGGTACGCATGCGTGAACCCTTACACGTGGAATCAATACTACCAATCAGCTCTCGTGCAAGGATTTCAAGAAGGACCTATGAGTTGTCTTGTCCTTCTGGTTTTGGCCCTTGGAAGCGCTAGTCACAGTGGCAGTATCTTGTTCGTGTCACTAGATCATGAACCGCCAGGTCTTCCATAATTTTGCCGCTGCGTGGAGTATCTTACCGTCGGTTATGATGCGAAACACTGTATTTGCAGCGCAGTGCATGGTCATGGCCTCTGCCTACCTATTCTATCTGGTACGATCCCTGGAAGCCTGGACCTTGCTATCCAGCATGAGCATGAAATTACAGTTGTTGTTTGGCAGTCCAAGCGGAATCCCAAATCAGTGGAGAGAGCTGAGTGTAAGGGTATACTGGAATGCGTTGTTGTTTGAAAGTGATCTTCTTGCAGAATTAGATCTCCCCCATTCTGGCATCGTCCACTTTGACGGACTCGTGGACCTACCAGGAGGGTTTGATGAAGAAGATGAGGATGATGGAGAAGAGGAAGACTGGGATCATGATGAGGGCGAGGAACGCCGAAGAGCCTGGAAATATCAGGGTTCGTCACGCCTGGTGGACTCTCAACTGGCCGTTTGGCGTGACGAACTCTGGTATTTCCTGGCAGAGATTGCGCTATGAAGACTCCTCAATCGCGTCAGCCACATCATTTATCAGAAAGACAGCACCCACACTCTCGCATCATTGGGTCCCATTGTCTCCGAGCTCGACTTCCAGCTCTCTCAGTAGTACGAGAGTCTTCCCCGACCCGTTCAAGTCCCTTTGACACCAAAGCCTCTTTCCAATCCGGCTCAAACGGTGCTGAGGCTTCGCTACAATGCATGCCGTACCATTTTATATCGTCCCTATCTCTTGGCTGTTCTTGAGGATGAACAGGCTGGAGCGGACCCAGGGGTGAAGAGTGTTGCCGGCGGTGTTTGGATGCCACACTCCGTCGGCTAGAGAATATAGCCAGCCATCTTGAATTCCACCTCCCATACCTATGGCAGGGAGCCCTGTCAATGGTATCACAGACGTTGCTGATAATGGGTGCCACATTGTCTCCTACTCTCTCTACCCTGCTCCCTTCTATTTCACAGATAGATGCGATCATTGTAGGAGTGGTAAATGAGGTTGAGAGGTATGCACACCTAGCACCTAGCCTGAAACTGTCAGCCGAGATTATTCGAGATGCAGAGAGACGACGACAGATTTATCTTCGATCGGTCAATAGGTGCCTCTGATCTGCACACTTCTGACAAGGGACTTCGTGTGAGGCCAAAATTCCTCGTTGAATGCCGAACTGAATGGTTTACTGGTTAGGGATGATTTAAAGTCCTTGTTTATAAAAATGCAAACATAGCATGATGCCTGTAAGCATGACAAGAATTTGATTGTAGGCATATGAATGTGTGTGATGTGCATTGGACTGTGTCGTTAGGGCTCGCACCGAGGCAAGATCACCAAAAAAATGACAGACTTGATGAGCAAGAAACAAACAGCCATACGTTCAATCCCTTCTCATGAAAATTATGTTCTTAAATCATCAAATAACTCATGGTAAAATCATGGTGTCACAAAAAGACGTGGGGAGATCAAATATGGACGTCAGAAATGTCAAGAGACGCAGAAAAACTCCAGACCTCCACTGACTCTAGGAGGGGAGGGAGGGGGGGGGGGGGGGTGATAGTCATATGACTTCATAATCTTCCTAAACCAACACCCACTCGCTACCACGCTTGATGAACTTGTCGAGCATCAAGCCCACATCACCCAGTGCGAACCGGCAAATGTAAAAGCCAAAGAATTCCGCAGCATGTCGTGTGCTGAGTTCTAGACCAACGTGGGTTTTAGACGAATGTTTGAGCCCGGGGTCCTCAACCTGCTGAGCAATTTGTTCTAGCTATGGATTAGAATGATGTCAAAGCCTATTGGTGAGAAAAGTCTTACCTAGCACTTGTGCAGCATCAAAAAGCCGCGCCAATGCCCCCATGTAGTTCGCGTTGGGCCCGGAGAATTCAAGCTGGGCGACATTGCGCTTCGGAGGTGTTCCAAGTACGGATGTCATCGGGACAGAATTGAGAAATAGATTGTCCTTGTTACTCTCTCGAGTACTTGGGACCGGAGTGGTTGTCCCAAGCCCGGAAGTTTTTGCGCGTATTCTTTTCCACGTCGAGTATGATCTATTCGGCGCAACTTCCGGCTGAACAGGTTCATCCGGCGTGGACGCGGGCTTAAACAATGGCATTGATGCTTGGACACCGACATCACTACCCAATTTCTTGGTCAAGATAACCTGAACTTGGTCCAGTACAGTATCTAACGACTGCATCTCCTCCAGAACCGCATCTGCATCATATGTATCGACTTGGGCCAACTTAAGCAGGGCGGCGGTCAGCAGATCGCAGTTGGACACTTTCTCTTCGAGAGCCTTTAATTTGACATTTTTCACGCGCCAGACATCTCGAGGAATGAAGAGCTTCTCGGACAGGTAGCCACCGTGAGGATGCGCGAGTGTCTGGTAGAGACATCTCATTAGCCAAAATGGGCGGAGAAGGAAACCCTCCGGACATGGCTCTAGAGGAAGTGGGGCATTGGCCACCAACAAATTTGGCCGGCCAAGAGCTGTGGGTGAGTGAATGTTGCTGCCAAATAGATTTAGTCCACCGCTTGGCAGTCCATTTTGATTGAAGTTAAAGTTGGCTAGGGTTGGTGTTGGTAAAACAGGGACGCCGCTAGTCGCGCCCCTTTGAGTATCGGGGAATGCAGCGCTCCATGGGGAGCTTGGGGATTCCGGGCACAGGTCTGGGATTTGAATCGGAACAGAGGCATTCCGAGCTCGGAAAGGCTTCGTATTGGAGTGGAGTTTGTGCAATCCATCCGGAGCCGAGGGTACTTTGCCCATGGGTCGCACTGATGGTGGCAGGGGTGGCAGTTCATTCTCGTCATCCTCATGAGTACGAGTTTTGGAGAGACTGACCTGATCTGTGAAAGAGCCTATCGACGGGTTGCGTTGTGTTGGGTGCAAAGTGGAACGGGGCCTAGGAGCAGAAGGTTCGTCTTTCGGCAATGGTGGCGGGCGGTTTGCTAGTGAGGTTCCACCATTTTCGAAGGCCGATGATGCATTAGAGTTAGCGCGGGAGGAGCGGGTATTGGTCTCGATTTTAAGCTCCCGAGTGTGACTGGATAGTCTCCGGGCTCGCACTCCTGGACCTGTAGAAGAGGCGAGTGAGCTGATAGAACCAGCGCGGTTTGATATCGAGGCCCGCTTTGAAGGCGCCGGGAATTCGGATGACGCTGGCAGGGGTGGCAAAGCAGAAGACGGAGGAGAAGAGGGCATGATATATGGTTCGGGCCTTAGGTCGCCTAGTGGCAAAACATCATCTTCTGCAAGTGTAGACAGTGCACCCCCAATGCTTACAGCATTGGACGTTGCGGAGCTTTCCCAGGTCCTCCCTGACATGTTGCTAGAATCCGATTCTCGAGGGAGTGCCGACTTGGACTGAATGCCGAACTCAAAATCATCCATCACGTAGCCCTTGGTCATCTCTTCTAGCAACCGTTCCTCTTCCTCTGCTTCATCGTCCAGATATGCTGAAGTACGGGTAATGAGGTCATCCCCAAAACTAGTCTGTTCCTGGATCCGGCGCAGTTCACGATCACGATTCATTGCTTCTGCCTCCTGTTCTGCCTCGCGCACTCTTTGCTTCGCTAATTGGATGTTCCTGCGAGCATTTGAAACAACGTCATCACTTTCCTCTTCTTGGTGCTCCGGGACCGGCTCCAGTCCTTCATCATATGCAGCTTCCACGGCCGCATCGAGGGCCGCATCAAACTCAGCCTCGGTGTCATAGCTGAGGCGACGGCTTGTCCGGCGACGAAGGTATACCGATGACGCCTTAGAGTTTGCCGATGAGGGTGACGAAGCACCCGACTCATCAATTGTGTCCAACCATGAAGTGGATTCATTGTTATCTTCCTGATTGCCCATTGGCAATGCCATAAATCGGGGTTGGTCTTCCAATGCAGACGGCCTTAAGGATTGTCGCCGAGGGGGAACTGTTTCCAGAGAAAATCCATTTGCCTCTTCCAGTGGGATCTGGTAGAGCCCAAAGCTGGAACGAGGTGAGCTCTGCTGGCTCTCAAAATAGGATCCATCATTTGTTGAACGAAACAATTCTCCAAATGACTCTTGGCTGAGGGGCCGATCTGGCAGAGCTTTGTCGTCGCTCTCCGGGAGAGGGAAGTCCATACGATGAAGTTCCATCACCCGAAGCATATAGGTGTCTCGAATTTCTTGAAGTTTGTGTTTCTCTTCATCTCCTCCATTACTACGAACCATGACCAGCTGTAGCAAGTTGCAAGCGTCAGTGTAAGCTTCCATGGCACCCTCAAAATTGGCAGCGTTGTCAAGAAGAACTGCTGTATTTGCTTTCTGAAGGGCCTTTGAAAGCATCACCTTTTGGGTCTGTCCATGCTGGATGGCCGCCAGGTCTCCTTCCGCGTCATCTAAAGAGATAGAACCCGCACTAGAGCGAGACAATGGCTTATCTGTCTTGGGACTATGTGTGGAGGGCTGAAAAATTTGGCTTGAGGTGGCAAATGAGAGATCAAGTTGTGATGTTGAGTTATGGTTGAATATGGCAGAGTGCTCCAGCTCTGGCAGATCGTGCATCGGTAACCCATTCAGTCCTTGCGCGCGTTGGGGGCTTGGGCTCCCCCATCCACGGTTGTAACTTGAAATGGACATTTTCGAGCTTCCTCGCCGATGATGACCCATATATTCCGAGGGACTTTTGCTAGATGCCGTTGACTGGGACCAGCGATTTAAACTACCTAGCCCTTCTTTGATAGGGCTGGTCGCTCCCAGACCCTCCGGTGAGAAGTTTGCCACATTCTCTGTAAGCACACCGAGGCCAGTGGGTATGACCGCACCTGGCGACTTTACCATTCGGGTCCGAGAGCTAGGCCGCGAGGAACGAGAGGAAGGCCGGTTATGGGGCGGTCCAGACGGCGATTCCGATGAAAAGGGACCCGAAGGACGTCTGAAGTAGGATGAATTGGGATCATCATCGATTACTGTGTGGTGAATCATTTTCGCAAAACGGCGGAAGCGGTCGAAGCTGAGCCAATGATTTAGATGCTGGAAATGTAATATATCGAGTCTGATCTTGAATTTGAGTACCCTTGAGGCACTACGCGCGACCAGACAAGCACAACAGGAGAGGGAAATGGGTATCTGCAACCAGATCCTGTGTGTCTTCGCTCATTCTTCGCAAGTTTGGAGTGTTGATGTGGTCGTATGTCTCATAGAGTATCCTTGGTTTTGAAACCCCTTTGTCCGTCTCAATACATAGCTTCGTAATCGGGGAGGGGGGGGCTCTCGAAATTTTCAGAACAATAGGCTGAAATACATTATTTTATTTGGCCTAGAATGATCAGGGATCATGCGCATTGAAGATGGGAAACCAAACTCACAAATCGGGGGGCTGCGGAGGGGTTTGTTGCATCAACCACCCAATATGTGCCTCAATAGAATAACAACCTATAGCATCTGCAGAAAGGCAGACTAGTAGTTATCACCTTGGGAGGTTCGTCAAGTTCGTGAAGTTCGTCAGGGGGAGGCTTGAACTACTTCAGGGGTCCCGAGTTGCCGGGCGGTGGACAGTTCACAAAAAAAAAACAACAAAACAACAAGGGACCTCGGAAGGATATACGATGAGTCTAAAGAGATTAGGAGAAGGAAATAAGAAAGAGGATTCTTGATTCTGTATTCTGAAGTCTAGGTTCTCAAGGCAGAAGAGGAAAAGGGAAAAAAAAAGAAAAGGGGAGAGGGACACTTCTCCCTAGCGTAGACCTATCTACAGGGATAGGTTAACTACGGTTATTAAACCAAATCGAATTAATAGATCTATATGTTGTAGAAAGTATTCGAGGAAATTAAAAAAGATCTGATCAACCAAAAAAAAACCAAAAAAAAAAAAAAACAGAAATTCCCAAAAATTTAGAGATACAAGTTGACGCTTAGAGACGGGAAAATGGGGAGATGGGAATGGAGATGGGGGAAAAAAAAATTCTCTCCTCATGAATCCCACCTTAGGTTCCTTTACTCGGAACTTGAGACCTTTTAACTTAGTACGTTCTATCAAGGTACAATTCATACAATTCACCTCAATTCGAACTATGGCTACTATCAACCCTCCGCGGGATCCGAACACCGTGAGCAACTACAACAATTGGCGTTCTACCCATGTCACGGCCAATTTCGATATTCTGTTCGACCAGAAGAAGCTGGTGGGAAATGTCGTCCATCAATTCAAGTCAATCACCGATGGTGAGTCCCAGGAGATTATCCTGGATACCAGCCATCTCGACATAGGCGTGGTGAAAGTGGATGGCCAGCCAACCAAATGGGAGTTTCTCCCATCGTTGGAACCCTATGGTGTACCATTGAAGATCAGCCTTGATAAGCCCGTCAAGTTGAACGGCACCGTTGAGGTTGATGTATGTTTTTACAAATCATCTTACCCCCATGAAGCTCTATCTCACTTAAATCATAGATCGAGGTGAAAACCACCGACAAGTGCACCGCGTTGCAATGGCTAACCCCTGCGCAAACCTCAAACAAGAAACATCCATACATGTGTATGTGACAATCTTGAACTTTGTAACTTTTCCCTGGAGCTCCAATAGCTGACAAAATTGCTTAGTCTCCCAATGCCAGGCAATTCACGCCCGGTCTATTTTCCCTTGTCAGGACACCCCGGATGTTAAAGCAACCTTTGACTTCAACATCACCTCTCCGCTTCCGGTTATGACCAGCGGTCTACCGATTCGCAAGTCATCCATGGAGTCAAAGACTGACCACCAACTGTATCGATTCCACCAGTCGGTGCCAATCCCTAGCTACCTCTTTGCTATCGCTAGCGGGTATGAGCCCCTTCACCGTGCTCAAAGAGACTGTTCACTAACGAAAAAAAAAATCGACAGTGATGTCGCTGAGGCCCCAATCGGACCTCGGAGTGTCGTTGCAACCAGCCCTGACAAGCTGGAAGAGTGCAAATGGGAGCTCGAGGCTGATACGGAGAACTTCATCACAACAATCGAGGTACACAATCTATTTTCTATCCATATTAACCCTCAATTCTGACTTCGCACAGAAAATTGTTTACCCTTATGCCTGGGGTGAATACAACGTTTTGATCCTGCCACCTAGTTTCCCGTATGGCGGCATGGAGAACCCGATTTTCACTTTTGCAACCCCGAGTATTATCTCGAAGGTACGTAGTATCCTTTGTACAATGGTCAGATAGACCACTAATTGGTCGCACCAGGACCGTGAGAACATCGATGTCATTGCACACGAATTGGCCCACAGCTGGAGTGGTAACCTGGTCACTAATGCCTCATGGGAGCACTTCTGGTTGAATGAAGGCTGGACTGTTTACCTGGAGAGAAGGATTCTGGCTGCCATTCACGGCGAAGCCTATCGCCACTTTTCGGCCATCATTGGGTGGAAGTCTCTGACTGACGCTGTCGAGCATTTTGGTGACGACCATGAGTTCACTAAACTTATCGTTGATCTGAAGGGCAAGGATCCCGACGACGCATTCTCAAGTGTTCCTTATGAGAAGGGTTTCAACTTCTTGTTCTACCTCGAGAATCTGGTTGGCAAGTCGAAGTTTGACAAGTTCATCCCTCACGTATGCAATCTCTCTTCTCTCGCTCGGCTTCTTCTATTGACCTTTTTCTTGGCAGTATTTCACAACCTTCAAGTGCAAATCGCTCGACTCCTATGAGTTCAAAGCACTGATTCTTGACTTCTTCAAGTCAGATGCCGAAGCTTCTAAGCTCTTGGACGAAGTGGATTGGGACAAGTGGTTCTATGCGCCAGGTCTACCACCCAAGCCAAGCTTTGACACGTCGATGGTGGACGTTGTCTATGAACTTTCTAAGAAATGGCAGTCCCTCCCCGACTCTTCCTTCAAGCCTGATATCAGCGACATCCATAACTTGACGGCAAACCAACTGGTTGTCTTCTTGGAGCAGATGCTCGTGCTGGAGACACCTCTCAGTCCCGAGATCTCGAAGTTGATGGGCGATGTCTACGGTTTGGCCAAGAGCGAGAATATCGAGGTTTCGAACCTCTACTGCCAGGTTGGCATGAAAGCAGGAGATGACAGCGTCATTGAGCCAACAACCGAGTTGCTGGGCCGCATTGGACGCATGAAGTTTGTGCGACCTTTGTAAGATGTCTCCGCTCTGATTGCAGATTCAGTTCTTGATACTGACCTGGACTTTTTCTCTTCTTCTTTTAGGTTCCGTAATCTCCAGAAGATCAATCGCCCTGTTGCCCTCGCAACATTCGAGAAGTACAAGGACTTTTATCACCCTATCTGCCGAGGCATGGTGGAGAAGGATCTTTTTGGCAAGAAAGACAACTAGGCCGCTCTCTCCGTGTCGTGTTTTGCTCAAATTGGTAGACAGTGGATGCTTACGATTTGTTTTTGTGTTATGATCTTGACAAAATAAAAATTCTTATGCAAAAGAGTAGGGCAATCAAGTATTGTACATGTCTCTATAACCACAGGACATAAAATGGCAGAACGGATACCACAAAGGCAAACCACTCACTTGTGCGAGGATATCCCCTCATTTGCTTCCTTGAACAAATTTCTTGTCTGCCTCCGAATATTCGAAAATCGCAGTGCTCTTCTGATCACCAGGTCCAAGAGCGAAAACAAGATCCACTTCGTCCTTCTTTGACAGCTCCGACAAGACTCGGCGCATGTAGGCCACCACCTGGGCAACCTTGGCCCAATCAATATCTTCTTTCCCATCCGGTCCGGTCTGACTTCCCTTCCAGAGGTTTCTCCAGACAGCGGCGCCCAGCACCGCATCGCCTTTGGCCAACCCCTCATCATATGCAGCAATGATTCCACGCCATTGGATGAACAGATCCTTCAGGTACTTGTTACGAATGGTGCGACTACCCAGATCATGATACGTGTCCATGCGGTGTTCTGCTTCATGTGAAAAGTGATCGATCAAATGGCGAGAGTAAGTAGTAACGCTATCGCGATGGGGCAGGGCACGAAGGCGAACTGTCAAGAGGTACATGTGGAGGAAAGTCACCTGGGACCAGGTAGAAAAGGTTGGTAAGAGGCCGAGCTCTATAGCGATTCCCGAAATTAGCTTGTCTTCAAACCAGATCAGAACCCGAGTCAGAGACCCCTAGAATAATCTCACCTTTATACCACCAACCCTCTCCAACACCAAGATCCTCACCGGCTTCTGTTTTCGGGACCTCTGCTCCCTTTTGCGACGCTTGGGGGATCTTGTAATCCGCTTGACTAGAACAGGCCTCAAATAGCTTTTGTGTCATGCCATACGCGACATAAGTCTCAGCGGCATTTCCGGGTCTCCGCGAAAAATTCTTTGCCAAGTCGGAGACCTTGCTTTGTGAATACGATCGAGTGGTGATCGATATCACTGGCTGTTCTCCAGACGCGCAGGAGGCGGGTACCAGTGGTATCGGGCTGCGACTAGCAGATCTGGCAAGGCAGATGTTCTGTGACCCGCAAATCTCACGCGCCCATAGTGTCGATAATCTCCTGGATGACATTGCTGAGGATGTGAAACTCGTGAATTGGCCTCTCGTCATTGGTGATTTGGATCTTTTTTTTCCTGATGAATTACGTTTGCATTGTTTGTTCCGATACCAATACTCTGAACAAAAGGGACAAGCACTGAGGGCCCAATCCATAATTTTATAGCGCCTCAAACAATCTAAACCTCAGACCTGCGTATTTTTGGACATATCCTTGTAAGCTACTGTTGAGCTCGATTGGATTTTCGCAGTTTAAACTCGAGGTGGAGTTCCTGCTGGTTGTTTAGTTGATGGTTCTAGTGCTATTTGACTCAAGCTCTACCCCCTTCATTTTCATCTGCATCTTTAAATGTGTCTCATAAATTTGATCGTTAGGTGTAGCAGGAGTTATGCAATCTGAAGCTCAACCAAGTCTAATAAAAGACTCGTGTGGACGAATCCGGGTGGTTTCATCCCCAACGCTCAGGCGTATGGTCGTCATGATTGTATGGTGTGTTTCGTTTGTGGAGATGATCAGTTTCTAAATGACGAACATCCCAGTGAGACTGACATTTGTATTCGAGCCCAATGATTGGCTATGCCTCGTGGATAACCAGAAGATGAAGCATAGATCTCTCAATCGCCTAGCACCAATCGCTCGGTATGCTTTTCTACAAGAGGGAGAATTTCAGAGAGTCGATTGGGGTCTCTCAAGAACGCTGGAATATCGTCCCTAGTTGCTGATAGCATCTGTGGATCATCGTCAGATCAAAGATACATCCAACCTTGTCTCCTGATCACACATACCTGTCGAACTTTCTCATACTCACACTCCTTTGAGACATATTCCCGAATGACCTCACCTGTCGCAAAGTCCACATAGACTCGAGTGTCTCGGAGTCGGATCAAAACGTGGTCAAGCCTCATGAAGAACCTTGTCAACAAAAGGAGTCTTCCTGGCATGACTCGGATCTTGCAAGACAGCATGGTAATCCCATTGTCTGCCAGCTCGTCTTCGTAAAGAACAACCTCGTCAAAAAAAAGAATGGGGTCTGGGCGCTTTAGAAGTTCAATCGGGATGGGCTTCGTCGTTGATTGAAACGGCCGCGCACCAGGATGGAGGGTGCCTTTGTAGTCGGTGCTATATGACCAGTCGAACGGCTTCACGACTTCTTTAATCCCTTCATGGGTTTTCTCCCTTAGTACAAAGCAATTAGTCAACACGGTTGAACAAAGTCAAGTGGTAGGTTGCTATATACCTGCTCTTTTTCCATTCCCCCGAGTACGCGACCTGAAGCATGGATTGACCAGTCTTGTCCACCAAGTCCAGGGCATCAAAAGCATTAAAATTGATGCCCCAGGTACCCTTCTCATGCTCTATTGCAACATAGTTATCGCCGAAGATCATTTCTGGGGGTGCAATACCGAGTTTCTGGGTCATTTCATCAATCGGGTCGGCTTTGAGAATGGGTAGCTTCTGTGTTGAAATTCGAAACCCGTTGATGGTGATCGAGTTGGGTTTCTTTGCCTCCGGGGAGACCGTAGCACATACATTTGCCATGCTGAGAGCTCTAAAAGAAGCAGCAAGAGACCAAAAACGACTGAGGATCTCCAGGGCTATGTATGAACGTTTGCCATCGGAGCTGATAGCGATAACCCCGCGGACGGAGAAAGAGGCGGTCCGATCGTGCAACGTTATTTGTTCGGCAGAATCTTTAAAGGTTCTATGTTGTGCAGGCCTTGATTTGATATTGATAGTTAATGGTTCTGCCTATTTCAGAGGGGGTTTTTTTCAGAGATAGTATCCCACAATTTTTTTTTTAAAAAAAGACTGTTTGGTTTGGTTTAAATCCCGACAGTGATATAACGTCAAGCTGTAGATACAACACACTACCTAAGCAAGTTATTCATGCAGAGACGATCTTAGGTGCCGAGAGCGGAGAGGAGGGCGGTGTGGTAGGGTAGATGTTTTGCATCGGCCGGGAGTTGCTGGGGTGATGCTCTGGGGACCAAACATCCGAGCTTCTGTTTCTCTCTCTATCTTTGCGATATCCCCCCATCGACTAACGACTGACTCCGTGCAAAGTGGTCATGGTTGTACCAAACTAAACCCAAACCAACACTTGGCTACTCTTTATACACTGCTCTTCTTACCATCCCTTGTCCACCTTTCATTTACCCCACACACCCGCTCACCATGGCGGCGACCAAGACGCTCGAAGCTCGCTTTGAGCACCTGTCCATGAAGGAAGAGAAAGAGAATGGAAACAGTGATCGAACTTATGGCAAGCAAAAGGTACTGGACTCAATGAAATCTGGTTGAAGATCCACCTAGCTGATCCGATTTACCAAGGCGCCGGTCTCTTCAGTCCAGTCAAGCAGCAATTCGAATCGAGCTCAACTACTAAAATTGGCTCTCCAAAATAATAATGAAAACAAGGCAAATGCAATGAACGTTCCAGCCTCGCCAGGCAGGGGATCCCATGGCGCAATGGTGACCCGGAGCACCGATGAAAATGGGGAACAACGCACATCTTCTTCCCTCTGCGAGCAGTCAACTGTCCCCAAGGACCTGCACTTGGGAATGTTTGAAATCGGTAAACCACTGGGTAAGGGCAAGTTTGGGCGAGTTTACCTTGCCAAAGAACGTTCCTCTGGCTTTGTCTGTGCACTGAAGGTGCTACACAAGTCTGAGTTGCAACAGGGTGGTGTACAGAAGCAAGTCAGGCGTGAAATCGAGATTCAGAGTAACCTACGTCACCCTAATGTCTTGAGGCTCTACGGTCACTTCCATGACAGCAAACGAATCTTCTTGATCCTCGAGTTTGCTGGCCGCGGTGAACTGTACAAGCACCTTCGCAAGGAGCATCGGTTCCCGGAATGGAAGGCCGCACAATACATTGCACAGATGGCTGCTGCATTAAAATATCTGCACAAAAAGCATGTTATGCACCGTGATATCAAGCCTGAAAACATTCTAGTTGGCATTCATGGAGAAATCAAAATCAGTGATTTCGGCTGGAGTGTCCATGCCCCAAACAACCGACGCCAAACAATGTGTGGAACTCTCGACTACTTGCCCCCAGAGATGCTCGCTCATGGATCCAAGGACAACTACTACAGCGAGAAGGTGGATTTGTGGAGTTTAGGTGTCTTGACCTATGAATTTTTGGTCGGGGAGGCTCCGTTTGAGGACACCCCTGTCATGACCCAACGGCGTATCACGCGGGCAGATATGTCGGTCCCCTCCTTCGTGAGCCCAGAGGCTAAGGACCTCATCAAGAGGGTGAGTCGTTCTTTCTATCAATTTAGGAAGCCTAATTGCTCACATAACATCTAGCTTCTTGTTCTTGATCCCGCGAAGAGAATCCCACTCGATGAGATCCAGCGTCATCCTTGGATTGTCAAGCACTGCGAGAAAGACGATCGAACCGTGAAGCGAAGTTCGGGTTCTTCCAGGGAGGGCAAAGCATGAACAATGACTTGCCCCTTGCATTACAGAGTTTCTGGGAGTTCTGGGTTTCTTTTCTTCTGACAATTTCTCACGTGGATTTTTGGTGTTCTGAGCTTGCAAGCATTTTCAAGGCGTGTTGGTTTTGTTTTGGATTCAAGCCGGAGGTGCTCGCAATATGGCGACATTTTGATATTAATTTTATTTCGCCCCAGACGTGTTCAATACATGATACATTTAAATAACTCGACTAGAAGATACGGCCACCTATGTATGGTCTCTGGCATTTTTCATCTGCACTAGGATATAGGGCAAAGAATACTTTGAGACTAGATCTGTAGCTTGTGTTCCTCGACTTGATTGACAACCAACTATTTTGACCATAGCTACATGCACATATTGATTTCATCTCACCTTTTATGGCTGACTATTAGATGATACATAGTTGTGCCTATTTTTTTACTCGTAAAAAGCCGCAAAAGAACTCCAGTAGATAGGTGGGGAGGTTCGTGTCGCTAGTGAAACCCATAGAGTATAGTACACTCAAACAAAATCTATCATACCAAAGGGCGGAGGATAGTGCAACGCTGTGTGGGTTGTGGTATCATCGGTAGATCTCATCAAATGGGCGTGTGTCCCTGAAACAACTATCCCAGACTTCATTGACGATCCTGGTGGCATGGGCTTCGTCTTTACAGGTTGGACGTGCTCGCACAGAGAGGATGGCTCTCCGTCGAACGCACTCTTGATGCTGTTGTGTAAGCTTCCACTGCCCTCTCCGGAAGAACTCGCGCGCCCATCTGCACTCGCCGCTGAGCGAACTAGCTCGAATCTAGACGGATTTAGCAAACGTTGACATGTTAAGACGATAAGAATAACACATGCCTCGGTACAGGCCGCATGCCGCAGATTATCAGACCAGTTCACCTTGAACCTGAGGTGGTCAAAGGCATGAACCATCTCATGGGCCATAGTATCTTCGAGGTGTCCCTGGTCCTTCATCTCATTTGCGCAAATCAGGATACCATATTCCGGATCGAAGCCACCACCCTTCCGATCAGTGCAGCGGCGACAGTAGATATTATGATTGTAAAGATCGCCTCCTAATTGTTGAATGTTTTCACTGAGGAATCGAATCGTAGGACCTTCATGAAGTGGCCTCGTCAGTATCCGGCTCAGATAACTCTTAGACGAGAAACTCACTATATTGAAGAAGATAATCTCGCTGATCTTCACAGCGCTTGCAGTCTGCTTCTTCATTACGAGTGTCTCGCGCAACACGGAACTGCTCAATTCCTTCGTTCGACATCTTGCCCGTAAGGATGGAATAGATATTGCGGAATTGGGTCCAAGTGTCGTCACCGGGGAGGAAGCCTGTAGTATCGGGTTTTCCATTTGAAGGTGCAGCCGCGCCTGGCGACTGAGAGTCTGTCATTTTCGCTCGTGTACTGGTCAGCGTTATCCATCACTGCGCGCGATAAAGCGAGATCCTCCGCAAATGGCGGCGTCAACAGGCAGAATCAGCACCGGAGTTGGGCAAAAAGTGCGATTCATCACCGCGAGTGCAGTGAACCCAACAGGCCTTTCTATACTCTTTTCGCTTGTTTCGTATTTATTTTATATGCTGCTGGGAGGGGGTTTTCAACTGGAATATGCGCCATGGCGACCTCATCGGGTCTTACTATTGTGATTAAACTAGGTGCGGGGGATCTATATCTGTTTCCCGATGACTCAAGTACTCACCACTCACTATAATAGGAACGAGTTCAATCGTTGACGAAAAAACCCACGAGCCGATTCTTTCGATCTTGACATTGATTGTGGAAACAGTTACCAAGCTACATAGAGATGGCCACCGAGTCGTCCTTGTATCATCTGGCGCCGTGGGCGTTGGCCTGCGAAGGATGAATGTGGACAATAGACCAACATATCTGCCACGCATACAAGTATGTCTTCGGGTTCTACAGAAACAGAAACCCCTACGACAATTCCGGTGGAAAATTTTCTAATGGAGGTCATAGGCTCTCGCTGCAGTTGGCCAATGTCGACTGATGAGTCTTTGGGACAATCTATTCTCACATCTTCGTGTTCCTGTGGCCCAGATCCTTTTGACAAGAAATGACATTGCTGATGTATGTACTTTTACATCTGCCCCGACCTGTTCCTCTACTAACACTCAATGCAGAGAACCCAATATGTCAATGCGCAGAATACATTTGGACAGTTGTTTGATATGGGAGTGATTCCTATTGTCAACGAAAATGATACCCTGGCTGTTTCTGTAAGGAATTTAAGAAATCCTGTCACGATCACGCGTCTGACCCAATGATTTTCAGGAAATTAAATTTGGCGACAACGATACCCTTTCTGCTATTACCGCGGCGATGGTCAAGGCCGATTTTTTGTTTTTGATGACCGATGTCGACTGTCTTTACTCAGCAAACCCTCGAACCAACCCAAACGCAAAACCCATTGAGGTGGTGACTGATATCTCCTCTCTCGAGGCCGACGTCTCATCGGCAGGCTCCTCTCTTGGCACTGGAGGTATGAGCACGAAGATTGTGGCTGCAAAGCTTGGAACCAGTGCTGGTGTCACTACGGTGATTACCAAGAGCTCAAAACCAGGCAATGTTCACGACATTGTGAAATACCTACAATACCTCGAGGCTCGGTCCAATGGCGTAGCAGCTGACGACCAAAACGAGGCACCCACTGTTCCTCTTCATACCCGATTTATTCGTTCAAATACTCCGATTCAATCACGAACTTTCTGGCTACTCCATGGACTGTACCCACATGGTACATTATACATTGACCACGGAGCCTACCACGCACTTTTGAATAATGCCAATCTTCTCCCGGCTGGAGTGGTTGGGGTTGAAGGCCACTTTGGACAGCAGGAATCCGTGCGGTTAGTAGTTGTTGATCGGCCATCCCCAGATGCCTTGGATGGCGATTTTATCCACCATAGAGAGGAACCCAAGGAAGTCGGTCGGGCTCTGGTAAACTACGGAAGCATTGAAATCGCACATATCAAGGGCCACCGCAGCACACAGATTGAGACCCTACTTGGTTATGCCGATAGCGACTACGTGGCAATGCGAGAGAACATCTCGTTCCACCCTGAAGACCACAGTCGTACGGTGACACCGTCATTAACACCGGCCCTGGAGGAATGGAAGTCCCCTTGAAGCATAATGGTTAGATCAGCCAGTATACGCATATTATGAACAGAAGCGAAAATGTTCTTGCATTTATCTGTTTTAGACGGTTGATTTTCCCAGTCCCAACCTGGGTTGTTTCTTAAAATTTCTACCGTTTTTACATATCTCTCAAAAGACACCGCAAGGCCGCAGAAGCAGACTGGTTTTGTCTGAGTGAATGAGAAAATCACCCAAGCCGAAAAGTAGTTGAAGTTGCTTTAAATTTTGGATGTTTCCAACACCAACCGAAGCGACATGTAAAGATATCTGGAAGACCCACTCCTCAAAAATGTCAAGATGCTCGAAAGACTATCAATAATTCCAACGATCCAACCACTTCTGCATTCTCTTGTCTAAGGTGGGTGCAGGTGCGGGTGCAGCCTGAAAAAGAAAAAGTTTAGTGTTCAAAGCCCGACATCAAACATTCAAGAATCAAACTCACTGTGTTCTCGATGGTGTTCGCCGTCCATGTCGCAAAAGCCGTGTCCGTGTACAGGACGGTTGGTGCACCCAGGTAGGTAGTCGCAATGGAGAACGGAAAAGGTGGGTATTGAGGCGTAGCCGATCTGGTTGCGACAGTAGTCCCGGCGCTCTTGGGCATTGGGGCATATTTGATTGAGCCGGTCTGCTCACCGTATGGTACAGTATGCTGGTCCACTACAACGATACCATCGACAACGCCACCGGCAGCAGCTATCTGTCGTTTGCGCAGCTCATTGTGCTCGGCTTCGCCTTTGGTTGGAGTCGGGAACTGTAACGCCGCTCCGGTTGAGGAACTCTTGGTGAGACTCGAGATGTGGAAAGTTGAAGTGAGTTTTGCGGCCTCGATGAGATGATCATCGTCTTTTACTGTAGACCAGGGAATAACGATGGCGGGAATCGGCTGCATTGAATTGATCGCGTCCGCTACTTTGGTCGAGAAGCTGCCTTTCATGTTGGTCAAAGTAAAATGGGAGGTGAACCCGGACCAGTGACTATGAGGGCCTGATAAAACTATCTTGAGGAAGCTAAATGAGACCCGGCGACATTGGTCAGTCACAAAAGGAATTGATCAAGTTGCTGATACTAGGGGGGAATAGTCTTACTATGCATTGGGTTCATTTCCACCGACACTTTGGTCGACTCGAAATGATACCATGTCACCAGGAGCATAAGCACGATTGTTGATGACTTGTGATAGTGTGTCCTGAAGATGTGATTAGCTCTCTGTTTTCCATTTCCATTTCAGTAAAAGAGAGGCACCTACATATGAACCTGTCGTCTCGTCACCAGCACAGAGATAAAAATCATAAGTTGAAGTCGGTTCGCCGTCTAAGCCCCAAAGTAGACTCACGGTAGCTGCACCATCGAAACTCAGATTCTGTGCAGTGATCTGAGAACTGATCTGGCCATAGACGGCCGTAAAGAACAGGGCGACCTGAAGCAATCGGATTCGCATGTTGGCATGAATGGAAAAGTTCAAGAGAACAATGATCTCTCAGTAAAGAGAGAGATCATCCCTTCATAGGGTTCCTTGGTATGTGCATCATTCCCAAGCCCCAGCCCTTGAAGCCCTTGAAGCCCTTGAAGCCCTTGGAAGTATTGAACGTGAGATATGCACTAAGATAAGGGTACATGGTCCGTGCTATCCGACTTCTTCCGTCAAACGACTTTTGAACAACTTTGGGCTTACACAACCATGTCGTCTCAAGCAAATTGGAACTCAGTGAATGGCATTGCCACACTGTTGCTCAGTGGTAACCTGGTTGCTATTACTATTGCTATCCTCTTCACCTTTGGTGTCCCCATCGCACTGCACATCTTCTTCTTCCGGGTCGTAGCGTGTCCGCCTTCGAGTAATTTCCTACTCCTAGGCCCCAGTGGAGCTGGCAAAACTGCTTTTACAACATTGGTAGGTTTCATGACCTGCTTCAGAGTGGTTCCGCTCTTGTTAACCAATCTATAGCTCGAAGCCAAGTCCTCACTCGCTTCGACCAAGTTGCACAGCACCCACACCTCTCAACAATCAACCCTAGTAACTGTAACCTTACCACCGATTGTACCAACCGCATCCAATCGTTATCGATCGGTGAACGATTCCTCTTTAAAGGAAATTGTCCGCAATCCAATCAAGTACCGCGTAAGGGATACCCCTGGCCATGGCAAGCTCCGCGCCTCGCAAGGGATCTCTGGTCTCCAGGCCATGTCCCAGTCGAAGGATATCAAGACAAGGCTACGTGGCGTGATATTCATGGTCGATACCGCTGCTCTAGTTGATGAAGCGACGCTCCGTGACACCGCAACCTATCTACACGACGTTCTTCTCTTTCTCCAGAAGCGTGCAAAGAACGGATCATCGAGCAAGCGGACCACGGATATCCCCGTCTTAGTCGCCGCGAACAAGCAGGATCTTTTCACTGCATTACCACCGGGTGCGGTGAGGGAAAAGCTGGAAGCGGAGATTGATCGCATCCGCAAGTTGAAGACCAAGGGTCTTTTGGATGCAAGTGCCGATCCTGGGTTGGAGGACGAAGAGGAGGAGATTCTGGGTAATGATGAGCAGGAGGTTTTCAGCTTCAAGCTCCTGGAGCACGAGGCCGGTGTCCAGGTTGACGTGGTTGGCGGCGCTGTTCAGGGTGACTTGCAGGAAGAGTTCGGATCTGGAGTGCGCCGCTGGGAGGAGTGGGTCGGGATGTGCTTGTGAGCGTTACGACTTTGTGTTCTCTTGTCTTAATGGTCCGAAATAGTAAATAGATGGTTCTGTCATGATTTGCTTGTAAATGTTATGGTTAAAAAAAGTTGCACCGACAGGATCCTAGAGAGACTACAATGTGCTATTCTATTGGTATTGCCAATCCAACCCCAGCGTCTCTGTAGCTTGGGCATCAATCCAATCCTATTTGGTCATCAATGAGAGAAACAAGTCTGACAGAAGTCAAAACATAGCACTCACCCACACATCTCGAGCAAGCTCCATGTCTCCACTCATCGCGCTGGGCTCACATAGCGTAGCGATGGGTATAAAGTACTCACCACGATGATTCTGCTCGCGCACTTCTGGACTGGTAGCAAGATATAGAGCCGTGGCAGCACCTTCCTCCAGACTCTGACCAAACCAGGATCCTGCCGTTCTTATAAGCCAACCTAGGAATCCCCCAAAATAAGAATCCCACCCGAGCCATTGTTCAGTAACAATGTTCCCCGGGAAGAACGAATTGACATAGATCTGCTTGCTCGCTGGATCTTGATCGTCTAGAAGCCGCCGGCTGAGCTCGTTGGCAAAAAGGATTTTACCCAGCTTTGACCGACCATACCGCCATATTCCATCGTACAAGGCAGGCCACTTAACGCGTGACGATGAGCACAGAAGATCCCAGATCGGGCCTTTGGCACCAAAAATGAAACGATGAGCTGGTCACAACAATTCGTACGTCGCTGCTAGGCGTCACGCCGTTTCTCAACAGGGGTAAGAGTAATGTGGCCAGGACTTGGTGTCCGACACAGTTTGTTGCGAATACACGCTCGATATTCTGGGGCGAACGCCTGTATTCATTTGGAACACCGAGGGCTTCATGTGAGAAAGGAAGGTCACTATGTGATGATCAGTTGAGATGGAGAGAGAGTTCACCTGCGTTGCAAACCAGGATATGAATCCGGTCTGTGACTTGTTTAATCTTTTCAACAGCGGCCTTGACATCCTGAATATCCCCCAGATCACATTTGACAAATTCGACTGGGATAATATTCTCCAGTGAAATGCCCTTGCGGTATCTCCATTCCTCCCGAGCAGTGATGTATGCATCTTCATTTCTGGCAAGGATGATTACTTTTTCGATGTCGTGCAAGAGAAGCTGGGCGGTGATCTCTAGATTCATTGTTATACTCTGCGAGGTATTCAAGTGGCTCGGTATCAGGAGCTCTGTTTGCCTTTCCCTATGCCTGGTTGGCCACCCTTCGGCAATTAGTTGCTGAGCCGAGATACACCGAGAGATAACTCACTGTCACCACAGCCACCCATCCATTTAATGCCGGCGTGTTTCCAAGGGAGAAGTTCTGATGTGTCAAGATTCTTGTCATCTTGAGTTCTGAATTGGAGTGGGCAAAGTTCATTGGATCCCCAGTGAAATTGCACACATATATACATCTGATCTGAATCGACGTCATCGCCACCTAAACCGAATAAGTGGAAGGGGGAAAAATAGAACCATGTGAAGATGCTCTATGTTGATTAAGTGGGTTTTTTTTATATTATTCAACACCTTCGCGCTGCAGTGTTTCAATGCCAAAATGGGTTGAATCCCCGGGGAAGTCCTTACAAGAGAAACGCCTATCCCAAAATTTTAGATCAGGAATGTTGAACCCCTACCCAACAAGCAATCTCTCATGCAAATGCGTTTCGGGAAACAAAGAAAAGCAACTTATTTTAGGCATTTTTGGTCTTGGACTGGTGCAGCATCCAGGTGAGCAGGTCGACCTTGGTAGCGATGGCCAATGGCTTCATCGCACCACTTGCGTCCTTCTCGGTCACAACCGCAGCACTGTTCCACTCGAAGAAGCGGTTCAGAACGCTGAGGGGGGTATCCATGGTGATCTCGATGAAACCGCGACTCCGGGTCTGGGGCTTGAGGGAGTCCGTGCCCTTGGACAGGTCACGGGGGTCAGTGACCACCTCTGAGATCTTCGAGAAGTCAAACATGACGTCGGAGACGGGGCTCTGGCCCGAGGCCCGGCCGTGCGTCAGTCGGCTGAGAACGTTGCCCAGCGTAACGAGGCCGACGAGCTTGCGTCCAGAGGGGGCAAGGACGGGAAGCTGATCAAAGCCTCGGTCGCGCATGACCTCGATAGCAGTCTCGCAAGGGGAGTTGGCTGTCACGGTGGTGATGGGCTTCAAGCGCAAGGCGCTGACCTTGGCATTGGCCAGAGGATTGGACTCGGACTCCTGGGGTTGAGTTGTCGATGCAACGGCGGGAAGAGATGGGAGCAGATCATTGGCTGCGAGCCAGTCGTCATCGGCGAACTTGAATCGGTTAGTTTGAAAGCCAAAATAAATCGGGGAAAGATTTGATCCTACCTTGGAGAGGTAACTTCTGATGCTGTCAGGAAGAATCACAACGACGACATCATCCTTGGAGAACCTTTTGGCCTCGTTGGCCTTGACCAGAGCCGCGATGGCGCTGCCACTGCTACCGCCAACCAAGAGACCCTCCTCGGCAATCAGGCGCCGGGAGTACTTGAAAGACTCCTTATCTTCAGTTTTGATCCATTGGGTCACGGCATCTTGGTCCAAAACCTCGGGGATGAAATCATATCCAATGCCCTCGACCTTGTACGGCTCATTGGCACGAGCTTCATTTAGGGAGGGAGGTAGAGCAAGAATGGAACCAAAGGGATCAGCGGCGATCACGTTGATATCAGGGTTGTGCTTGCGCAAGCCACGGGCAAGACCGGTGATCGTACCACCAGTTCCAGCACCAGCGACAATGGCATTGATCTTGCCATTGGTCTGGGTCCAGATCTCCTCGGCAGTGCCAAGCTCGTGTGCCAAGGGGTTGTTCGGGTTCTCGTACTGATCCAAGATGTGGGCGTTGGGCAGTTCCTTCTCAAGACGTCTGGCTACGCCGATATGCGATTCAGGCGAGTCAAAGGCAGCTTCGTTGGGGGTTCGGATGATGGTCGCATTCAAGGCACGTAGGACGGCGACTTTCTCGGCGGACATCTTCTCCGGGAGAGTGATGATGGTCTTGTAGCCTGGGTTGAGAAGAATAGACAAAGTTAGGACGAATTGAACAAGCAAAGGTTAGACCATAGAAACGTACCCTTGACGGCGCCCACCAGTGCCAGGCCAATACCACTGAATGGATCTCAATTAGCGTCCGCGTCCATGACGAAACGAAAGAGAAGAAGGAAAAAAAAAAACGTACGTGTTGCCACTGGTGGGCTCAATGAGAGTATCACCAGGCTTGATACGACCAGACCGCTCGGCTTCTTCAATCATGCGCAGGGCAATTCGATCTTTGACACTGCCACCAGCATTGAAATACTCCAATTTGGCGTAGACAGTAGCATCGATTCCCAGAGTGCGGGGCAGATGGTTCAATCGCACAAGGGGTGTGTTGCCAATCTGCTGGGTGATAGTGTCCAACGTGACTGGCGGGATGCCGGGGGTAGTGGTGGAAGCCATGATGTGTGAGTTGTGAGAGAGATGTGAAAGAAGGAATCTTGGGTTCGCAATTTTGAAGATTTCGCCATCAACTTTGGCGCCCCGCCCGATGATAACCGGCTGTCTGTGGGCCCATATACAACACATAAATGGATGTATAGCTATGGACATGGTTGAATTTGAACTTGGTTAGTTTCAATTTTAGTAGATGTTGTCATAGACAAAATTGAAATACAAATGCTAGATGATGACTTAGGCTACCTATAGCTTATTTAATGTCTCTCTCTCTCTCTCTCTTACACAGGGCTTCGATGGGACTATTTTATGACAAGGCCAATGGAAACATCAAATGGAAACATGCAAGCAAGTCAATTTTAGACCCAGTATAACATACAATCTTATGAGAGAGTACATCGGTGTTTTTGATATAGTTATCCAGACTTGACTATGTCTTCTATGTTGTAGATGCATATTTGGCGACTAACACCAGGGGGAAATATGAGAAGACAACAGACATCTAGACTATGAGCCTCCCCCCTCAAAAGACCAACTCGTCACAACATATATCTCCCCTTGACTATGTATCGACGTCCAAGGTACTTTCCCAAACACTTCCAAGGCAAATCAATCTATATCTCCACTGGTCTCGCCAAGTTGGAAACTCTCTGCTAAATCCACACTGACTTTAAGTACTAGGGCGATCTTGACTCACTTGATCTACTCACTTGATTGGCCAATAATTCCCTCAAAGGTCATGGTGATCATGATCCAGCTCTGCAAGCTCTTGTCCGCATCCTATTGCCCAGTTCCATACACTCTGGACTGAAAATGCGCTTCGACACTTTCTGCAAAGCCAAGGCCGTGGCTGTGCAGGAGATGGCCATTCCCCACACTCAATTGGCGTCTCATCCCCTGAGAGATAATGAATGCAACTATTATAAAGAACAATGATCTGGACAAGGGAAGCAGATCGATTCAGGAAGTCAAGTATTCCGTATGGCGTACCACATCTCACCATCTTTTGTGTGTGTGTGTGTGTGTGTGTTTTTTGTGATTTCTCTTCTTTTCAAGCCAAATCTGACACGGGACACGATCTTCACGGGAAAAGCATCAGAAAGCAAATGGCGCCAAGACCTCCTGGCTGTGTAGATTGAAAATTTCGAGGGCTGATTGGCTCTCTCAAATGCCAGCGCATCCCACTGGTTTCGTCTGATTTTGTCTCCTTTGTGTTGTGTTGCGGCCCGGACGCTGTACGGAGTACCCTGTACAGTCTTTGCAGTCCCCCAGCTCTTTTTTCTTTGCGTTTTTCTCTTTTTCCCTCTTTCTCGTCTATTCTTGCGTGTTTTCTTTTAGGATATATCCAGATCGACCTCATTTTTGATTTGGTTTTGTCTCACAGTCTGGCACCTTGGGTGTACTTCGCCCAATCCCCGATCTATACGGAGTAGTGATCGGTTCAAAATGGGCTCAATCAGGTCAACCAATCCACAGAACGCTGACCTTTGTCTCCGTGGGAGCAGCGATCAACTGAAGATGGTCCAGGAGAAGCCTTCGCAGAACTCGATATTACCCACCAACTCTACCACTTCCAATCGAGCATGGGCCTTTTTTCGCGTGGACACAGCCGGAGAGAGCGGCCGAAGTGGCATTCACCCATGGTATCTCCTCAAAGTATGCTTTAGAAGCGTCTGTACGCTTTCGATGGTCGTGAATATCCTCTGGCCTTTTGTTCCTGCCGCGATTGTCATTCATTTTGCGCGACCCGATCTTCACGTCTGGGTCTTCAGTCTCAACTACATTGCCATGGTGCCTTCGGCAAACGTGCTCGGCTTTGCTGGCGGAGAGCTAGCCAAAAAGTTACCAAAGATGATGGGCATCGTAGTGGAAACAACCTTGGGCGCTGTGGTGGAACTCGTGCTGTTTATGGTTTTGTTGCATAAGCATGGCCGGACCGAAAACTCGGATCTGATTCCTGTCATCCAGGCCGCTATTCTTGGTTCCATCTTGGCAAATCTCCTGCTTTGCTTAGGCATGTGTTTCTTTGTCGGCGGTATCAAGCGTGATGAGCAAACCTTTCACGAAGCCATCAGTGAAGTTGGTACTGGGTTGCTCCTTGTCGCGGGTTTCGGACTCTTGATTCCAAGTGCATTCTACTCCGCACTGCGTGGAAGCGTCAATGAACATTTTAAACTGGCGCAGTTGAATGACTCTGCCTTGACGATTAGCCGTGCGACGTCGGTGATCCTTCTTGTGGCATTTCTAATGTGAGTGGCATTGGACTCTTGCCTATTATTTGACCACTAACACTCCGCGATAGATATCTTTTCTTCAACCTGCACAGCCACAACTCCATCTTCGATGAGATTCTAGAGAAAGACGAACACCACGACGAAGATCGACACGAAGAAGCCGCGAGAGCAAAGCTCACAATGATGGAATGCTTCGTTGTGATCGCCGTTGCCCTGGCCTGCGTCTGCATGTCCGCCGTCTTCCTAGTCCAAGAAATTGAGCACATTGTGGAACGCGGCATCTCGGACAATTTCCTCGGTCTGATTCTAGTCCCTCTGGTGGAAAAAGCTGCCGAGCACCTCACAGCCATTGATGAAGCCTGGGATAACCAGATCAACTTTGCACTCTTCCACTGCCTAGCCCCCTCGATCCAAACAGCACTACTGAACGCACCACTCACTGTCATTGTTGGCTGGGGCATGGGCAAGGATATGAGCTTGAACTTCGAGATTTTCATGGTTGTCCTCCTTGTGCTCTCGATTCTGGTCGTCGGGAATTTCTTGCGTGATGGCAAGTCTAATTACCTTGAAGGTGCTCTTTGTGTGCTGGTTTACTTTATCATCGCTGTTTGCACTTGGTACTATCCCTCAGTGCACACGACCTCAACGAACCAGTCGTGAAGATGTCGGGTTTGTTTTTTTTTTTTTTTTTTGTTTTGAAAAATAGCGTGTTTGATTCGCAAATGTCTCGCATACTGCATATCACTGACGGTTGGTGTTTTGAGGAATTTGATGGGGGTTGGACTAAAGCTTCATAGATGGCCAAAGAGTAAATAACTGTCTGAACATCAGACAGCACCTGGCTAGTCAGATAAGGCCACATAATGTAATATGACCTCATATGAAACCAAACAAAAACAGTTTGATCTGACTGAGCGTTATTCCAGGGAGGTCTGAGGACGCAAGGCTTCGTTCATCAACATCTGTGCATCAACACGCAGCTCGAAGTCGGCCAGGAAACAGAAGCTGATCTCGAGTTTCGACAATTCCTGTTCACTGACTCCACCGACCTTCGCAACCCGGCTATGTGGATAGCTCAAGTCCTCTAGAGCCTTTGAAGCAACCCAAACACCAGCAAGCACAAGCCTGTGCATATTCTTCGGCAAAACCCTCAACACATTCTCGACCAACGTCATCTTATATATGTACACGCTAGCTGCGAGATAGACCGCCGTAGACATAGGACAGTACCTATGCAAGCGAAGCAGATACTCATTTAAGGGAATTGGCGGCACCTTCTTTGACAGAAACTTCTTCGCCAAGATGGCCATCTGAATCGCCTCTTCTGTCATCCTCGTAGGGTCAATAGGATCATCCAATTCCTTAATATGCAACCCGACAGTATTCACCCTGAGCTCGTTCTCAGCAGGAGTACCATAAGCCAGAGGCGTGGAGCCATGCGCATGCAGCTCTTCGGTGCCGACCGGTTTCTGAGCAAAAAATGCGCTTAGCCGCTCAATATTCAAACACAGCAAGTGCAATGCAGCCTCGGGCGAAATATCAAACACGGCGGCGGGGGTCTGTGACGAATTAGAATCGTCGGCAGGCTGGTGACGGGCATTGTTATCAAACGGCGACCCGACTTTCAGCATGGTTGGCGCGGGGTTTGCGTTTTGGTTGGAGCTTGTGTCTTGGGACACGGGAATGGTTGCAATTTGTGTTACGGCGGTGGCCATGATGTGCGCGTGTGGATTGTTTTCACTGCCACGCGCAGGTGCGGGCCTGGTAGGCGGTTGCGAGCAGAGCGCACCTGGACCTTGGGATGGATGATGGCTCCCCGGCTGGAAATCTCATTTTCCAACGAGTGATTTCTGGCCTCTGTTGGGACTTGGGCTCAATTTGTGGTGCGGATCTCGGACTCAATCATGGGGGAAGGGAAGGGGGAGGTAAGGTGAGATATGACCAATGGGGTTTGATCTTTGTAGAGTTGTAGAGCGGGGTGAGAGTTCTAGATGGAATGAGAGCCTGATCATAAATTCTAAAAAAAGATCGAACTAACCTTGAAACCTGATGAATAGATGCGAATGAAAAAATTTATTCGAAGAATGAAATGAAACTATTCCAAACAAATCAAGAAACAAGGAGAGTAGCGAGAAGGCAAAAGGGGAGATAAGAAAGTTGCCACATGTGACCTTTACCTTCAGGAGTCAATGGACTACAAAGTACAACATTGGAGATACCATATCCAAAACAGAAACAAAAAACCACTCCTATTCATGGATCCTTCAGATGTATCTAAGAAGACTCATCTTAGCAGGCTCTCGACGACAGTACGAGATGTGTACTTGTCGACCAAAATTGGAGACGCGACTGCCCCATTACAGCCCAACCAAATTTTTATGCTCAATGCCCGAGACGCCTCCGATTCGAGTGACAGGCGTATGGCTTGTGCCGGCGTCGAGAGCCTGCTAGGATTAGCATTGTGGTCCTCGAGTCTTTACCGCGATTAGGAGGCCAAAAACCAAACTGTTCAGTCTGCTGGAAAAACGAAAGGAAATTCGGCCTCAACTATCAAGGGAGTGGTTGTATCCCTGATTATCGGTGAAAACTCGACATGCTAGGTCACCGGAAAAGTCATAAATGCGAGAGACCTAACGCGGCTGGAGCATCCAAAAAACTTGGTTCTAGAACCAGAGGCATGGCTCTCGTCCGCGTTGTCTAATGACTCGCCGACCCGAGCTCGAGATTTCACACAATCCATGGTGAATGACTTTCGGTTCTCTTGTTTCATACCGAACACCAGCATGGCTTGAGTCCCGGGTATTCTGGGACCGGGGGCGCGACGAGTAGTGTAACGGATATCCGAATTCAAATTCGTAGCCTCGCGAGGAGCCCTGTGCTGGGTACCTAGTTTCATGCTCATAATCAGAGTCATAAAACCGAACGTGTTTGTGCGTTCCGCAGTAATGAGGCTGTCGTGTCTCTAGTTTGACCGAGAATCGTACATTCGAATTATATCTCCTTCTAGCAAAATTAGAGGCCATTTCATAGTCTGGGGGATCAACCACAAAGAGCCTGGAAGGCGGCTCATAGGCTGGTGCACACCGGGAATCAAAGTTGCGAACAGGTTCTGACCTGTCAACCGAATAGGAAGGCCGGGGTCTCATAAATGTCGAGTGTAGGTACATACGCTGCCGTGTTCTCTGTCTTCTGTGAATCTCTTGTTCTCGATGCTCGATGTAATTCGAGGATAACTTGAAGGTGGTGAAGTGATAAATAAATCATTCTGGAACAATGGATCTGGAAACAAAGACACCCTGGAACAAGGGAGTGGGGGGAATAAATAGAGAGATAAAGAAAGGGGACTCGACGAACCTCGTTGATTATAGCGGCACGGGTGAGATGGCAAGCATAGCATGTGTAAGAATACATGTGGACAATGGCAAAGCAGGTTGCTTTCCAATGAGTAAAGATAGAGAAGTATTGATCTAGCTTGAGACAAAGATGATGTAACAAAGAGCTTTTGTGGAAATCGAAGGGATTTTATATTCGACCATTCGATAGTGAACATGGGAAGGCAATATTTCCAAGAGAAGGGATCTATAAGAAAGCTGTTAAATGTTGATTTTCAATCTTCTCTCTCTAAATAGAGAATGATACCAACCCGAGGTCACCAGAGCGCAGTTCAACTGTTGCCTGACAATATCCGTTGAAATCCGACTACATTCCAACTTCTTCCATCCTAGCAAGAATCTGAAGTTGGAGATTCAACTCCAAGAAAAGGTTATCTATCAGGAAATGATACGGTGTGATTAGCAAGGTGCTCCCAAGTGAGGCGTGACTGGGAGAGTGGTGCATCAAGATACAACGTAGCACCTGTGACTGTCCATAACAGAACCAACACCAACTAGTTTGGAGGATAGTGTCCAATGCGCTACATAAGAACAGGCATCACTGCCTAAAATATTCACTGCGCAACGTTATTCAGGAGTCTTAAGTCGTCCATCATGAAGGAATACTTCAGCCACACACCTCAATGTGTCAAATCAGACACCTGGGCGCTTAAAACAACGGCAAATTCCGAGCCAACCCATTGACATCTTCGACTGCGACATCCGACAAATTTTCACACATGAAGGCGCAGATCCTTAGAAACGAACCATGACGAAAACGAAGAGCTTGAGCAACAAAGCTTCGCCACGATTCCTAGGTCCACCTTTCAATTAATCTATCCTGGTTGCTATCACGCTGGTGGAGGACATCCAAATTGAGCTTCTGGGCCCCGTCTTGAAGACTCGCAAGTTCTTTCTCGAGGCCTGAGAGCGCTGATTCCTCTGAAGGATCGCGCAGTGATGTTTCATAGTGAGAGTTGGCGTGTAACGAGCAACGAAGAAGCTGGGATGCATTATCTAACGGTGTCAGATAAGTCACCAGAGGAGCGTCCACCGCTATATTGAGACCGTGAAGTGTTTCGGAAATATGAAATCGCTTCTCATGGAGGTCACCAACCCCTCCATTCTCGCGCGGGTGGAGGATTGATTCCGGTGGCACACCAAAACGCCTCAGAAGTCTTTCAAGTGAGGGCTGGGCAACTACGGGCGCAGTGGGCGTCCGGGTGGCAAGAAGGAGGCCTGGCTGTAACGATCGGCGTCGCAGAGACTCTCGTCGGGATGATGACTGTGTAACAAGTTCATTGCCTACCTCAGATTGATATAACGCGGCTAGCTGTTCTAATAGTTCCGAGGACGATTCCCGGACCCCGAGTTGGTTTGTGAGATCTTGCGTTGACAAAGTCATCTCGATCAACATGTCGAGTGTCTGGAAGTATGAATTAGTTAATTCCTGATCAATGGCAGTGCCAAAGTAGAGTCTCATACCTGTTCCAATTTCTCCTGCGCCGCCACTCGCAGCTGATCATGCTCGTTCTGGAGTTCACGGAGGATAGGCTCATGGAACTGCTGCCTGGTCGACATTTCTGCTAAGATTTCGATCTCCGGATGCAAAGATTCGAGTTCTTCCTCCAGGGCAGTGCTCGCTGTCCCATCCATGACATCGGGATTTGAACCGCCTGCGTGAATGGTTTCCAGATATAGTCGATCGAGACGGTAGTGTATTTCCTCCGCCACATAGTCTGACAGCATCGCACTGAGATGGTTCGTGCGCTTAATCGTAGATGCATCATTCCCACGATACTTGATACTGGAAATAAGCGTTTCCAGACTCGCGAGCGCCTTGTCGTCCCGCTTTAATCGGGTAGACAGGGAAGCGAGTATTCTCTTGCTTTCCGCGCCCGACTTATCCGTCGCGGTTTTGAAATCGGCCTCCAACTCATCCGCAAGTTCAATTGCCTACATAGAATCAGGATCAACGACACGTGACGGTTTGTAACGGACACGACCCTACCGCCATTGTAGTATTTTGCCTCCCCGCTTCGTGTTTCTTTTGCAGCCGAGCAAGATCTCGGCTCCGCAGCTGCTCTACATTATTTTCCAGACTCAGTTTCGTATTGAGGCTTGCACATTGGAACTTCAGAGCCTCAGTCTGTTTCTGAATTGTTGCTGTTGAGGCTTCGAGAGACTCGATCGCGTTGCGGAGTTCATCTTCCAGGATAGGCCGTGTTGCGCCGAGGTCTGAGTTGCTGAGAACAAGTTGAAGAGCGCCGGAGTTTTCGAGCTTCAGGTATCTATCTCCAGTTAGTGCTGTCTTGTGATTGGACCGGAAGTGAGACGTGCAACGCGAGCTCATCTTTTGATAGCAGCGTGTCAGGGCGCAGATGCTTGGACGCCCATTTCACATTTCTGTCATCCTCAAATATTGAGTCAATCACCCCCCGCTTGGCTGAGATATTTCGATCCTTGAGAATTGAGATGAGCTTGTCGGTCAAAGTGTCTTCCATTGTTGTTTTGAAGGTTGTGATGCGGACACCTGATAAACAAGGAGCTCCGAGAGTGGAGCTCCGACGTCAGAGGCCTTTGTTGGTCGTTCTCCTTACTAGAACATTTTGGCTTGGACATAATTCATCTAGATGATAGATAACTCTCCAGAGAAGCTATAGAAATTTATTACACTATTCATTATGTGAATCTCGAAATCTTTAGCCAAATCCTTTGGGGTACAAGTCCAAGAAAGAGATAAATCGAGTTACGTGGTATGAAGGAACCTCTGGTTATTCCTTTGGAACTCTTGAATCTCTAAGTCCTTGTTTGTCCATAGACGAAGCGCAATTCAATTCAGTAGCAAACAAGGATTGATTGCTCGAGTACATAAGGCTGATCCCCTAGGACTTAGAAAATCACATCGCCATCGACTTGAGCTATTTAACCTAATACTTCTCTTCGGACTCCTTCACTAACTATCATGGGCACAACAACTATGAAGGCCTCGCGAGAATCCCTTGCCGACTCACGAGATGATTTCGTCGTATATAACCAGGAGCTGTCTGCTGGGAACATCCCAGGTCAGAACGACGCTACAATCCAAACAGAGCTTCGTTGTATAGCCAACACACTCTCTGGGTGGACGGAGCACTCGGATTATCCCAACAAGGTAACTCGCAGCTGTTTTTCGGACCGGCGCTGCAACGTCTCAGATATCATTGTAAAAGTAGCTGAGCTAGTCACCATCAAGGACGGGTAGCTTCCTCTCACAGTTCTGAAGATGCTCGACATGCTGTCTATGCAGATAGGACGACTCACTCTTGACGGCCATTGCGATGAGGATGAGTACGCGCAAAGCTTTGATTACATGGCCAAGGATGAAGATCGTAGATGGCAGATTGGGTCCCAGGGACCAGGTTAACGGTAGAGCTGCACTTTTTGGGGGGGGGGGGGGGCTTTTGGACTCGTATGAATCGGTTCCCGGAGCCCGGTCTCAATTGCATAGGTGTGTATGCTGATGCTTGATTTAGGGTTCTAACTTAGTCGTGGGTTAATGAGATGACTGCAGAAGGTAAAGGAACTTGACTTCAAGTGCGAAAAGAGTGGTAGACCAGTGAGTGTAAAGTCGAAGAGTGTTGAAGAACTGCCAACAATGGATCTGTAAATCTCATCTGTAAATCTCATCTGTCAATGGCGGACCTCATTTGCTGTATATTGTTGTATGTTGTATGCAGATGGGCAGATCAGAGAAAAGAGGCCGAGAGCCAAAATGCGGCTGCCTGTGGCTGAGTAATCAAGCTAAAAAAGGAGCAAGTGAACATGTAAGAAAATAATTAGATTGGCGGAGTAGAATATATTAAACTGTTTCAACTTCATCGACTACAGAGTGCAAAGTACAAGGCACAGGAGTGCACCTACCGACGTGTCTCTCGATTAGCGTCTCCGCAAATCCGAATCCGCTTTTTCAACCTTCCCAACTCGCTGGACTCTATTTACCCATTTACCACTTACCATTTGCCATTTACCATTCACCTCTGACCATCTTTTACACCTTCCGCGCTGCGCTTCTTGAACATAATAATCAAACTGAAATCGCGATGTTCCTTTAGACTACCGTACCACAACAGTCCAGTCTTCGAATCGAGCCTCCTTTCCAGCCCCCGAGTGGCATTTGATACATATTCAACAGTAGACAACCCAAAATGTCTACCAAAACCTTTCCAGAATCCCGGGGCCCCAATCTGGGCCAGACCTTCGGGTCCACCTCCACCTCGAATGGCAACGGGACATCCACTCCTCCAACCGATGTGGAGATGAAGAGCTTGCGCCCTGATCCCCCCAAAGGCTCAATTCCTCCGGGGGAGGATATTATGCAGTTGGCTCGGACGGGGGAGATTGGCACTATGCAGAAACTATTTACGGCTAAAAAATTCAACGCAAACCACTGCGACGAGGAGGGGATAACACCGTTGCATGTTCGTCATAACCCAGCGCAACGTACATCAGGGATATGTTCACTGACCACATTCTTTCTTTCTAGTGGGCGGCAATCAACAATCAATATGCGATGTGTAAATTCCTGATCGACTCGGGGGCCGATGTCAATGCCAAGGGAGGAGAATCGGTGGCAACACCAGCCATGTGGGCTGCCCAACGGTGTCATTATTATATTGTGAACCTCCTGCTCCAGAATGGAGGAGACCCTCTCCTAACTGACGTCCAAGGATACAACATCCTACACCTCGCGACCATCGATGGCAACGCTTTCTTAGTCGTGCTGCTTCTACACCAGGAGATCCCCGTGGATGTTGTGGATCAACAAGGGCATACTGGACTGATGTGGGCTGCATACAAGGGTTATCCTGCTTGTGTGGAGTTGTTCCTGCGATGGGGCGCCAACGCAAATGCCGTCGACGAAGGTGGCTTGACACCGCTACATTGGGCGCTGGTCAAGGGCTCGATGCCCTGTGTCTTAAAGTTGCTCGAATACGGCACTGACCGTTTCGCAAAGACCCGCGATGGAAAATCACCTGCAACAGTGGCGCAGGAGATGAACACCCTGCGAGTTTGGTACCGCTCGCTCAACGAGCGTGGCTTTGAACCTGATGGCACTCAGAAAGTTGCGCCTCTGGGCCTTTCAAGCTTCGTACGCAATAAGAGTATCATGGCCAAGTTTTTCTTTCTCTGGCCTTTCTTGATGATCCTGGTTACCATCTGGATGCTCAGTAACCTGGCGATTTTCGTTGCTGTCCCCCTCGTGTTGGCGACAGTCTTCGGAATGCAGTATGTTGCACAGCAATTTGCGAACAAGGGGCCGATGGAATATCGCGTTTTGCAGAAAACACCGTATCTAGCTGGTGTCTTTGCAGGCACATTGTTCTGGGTTGGCTTCCGCTATGCTTTCAAAGTACTGCCAGCAACCTACTCATCGTCACCAATCCTGAACATCTTGTTTGCAGTCTTCTTCTGCTTGACTGCTTATTTCTACGTTTTCTCCATGATCCAGGACCCGGGTTATGTCCCGAAAGTGAGCAGCAGGAATCAACAGAGAGAGATTGTTAAGGAACTGTTCCAGCAGTGGAAGTTCGACGAAGAGAATTTCTGCATCCCCTGCATGACAAGGAAGCCACTCCGCAGTAGGCACTGTCGGCGTTGTGGGCGCTGCGTTGCGAAACATGATCAGTATGTGTCTTGCTATATTTCTATTGTTTCTGATCACTAACGCTCAAATAGCCATTGCCCGTGGATTGACAACTGTGTTGGGGCGAATAATCTCCGCCATTTTGTCCTTTATATAGTCTCCCTCGAAGTTGGCATCATTCTGTTTGTGCAGCTAACTATTGCCTGTGAGTACTTGTGGGGTGGAAAAAAATTGCCTAGGATCAGTCAACTAAAATGATATAGATATCAACTCTCTGCACGCTCCTACTAATGCTGCCTGCAATGTTATCAATGATACACTGTGCGACTACGCCTCTCGTGATCCCTTCACCCTGATTCTTAATGTGTGGATCACGCTCCAGCTGGTCTGGGTTACGATGCTGTGCGCCGTCCAGCTCGTCCAGATCTCTCGCAACCAAACTACCTACGAGAATATGCGAGGCCACCACATCGACCGGTCCTACCCAAGCTCCCAAGCCTTTGCATCGGCCATGACCGCCGGAACCACTTCAATGGACGCTGCTGGTCTTTCGGCTTCCGGACAAGGACCCAACCTGGCCCTCGGCGGCCCTTCCCCGCACCGACGGAAAAACGGTTGCATCCAACAATGGTCATCTCTCCTCGGGATCGACGCTTTTTGGACAACCGCCAAGGATGGTCTCCGCGATGGACCCCAGACGGCTCGCCCCCGCAACCCCTTCTCCCGCGGTGTCGTAACCAACTGCCGCGACTTTTGGTGTGACCCGGCTCCACTGTTTGGTAAGCGCCAGACTGGGGCGGCGATGCTTGGCGGTGAGGTGATCAACTATCACGATATGTACGAAACCCCAATGCGCATGCACGCTGGCAATCGGTCCGGCGAGGGACCTGGTTACCGTAGCGTTGCTGGCGAGGACCCCGAACGCATGGTGTAAGCTGAATCTGAGATTTGAGTGCGTTTGCATCTGTTTTCGAGACCAGACTCTGCACTGATATCCTTGTACTCTGTTGTTTTTTTTTATGCAAATCAGCGCGGTGTTGCATCAGTGGGGCACGTGGCACGAGAAAACGTTTTGCATTTTTGCGTTAAGAAAAGATTCTGTACAGTTGACCAGACATTAATGATTTCTTTTAACTTTATACAATTATGGGAGATGACTTGGCTTTTGAGCAACGGGAACAAGCAGTCTTGACTCTAGTGACTATCAGGTCTACATGACAACTCACTGAGTTTCCAAGGTCCTCAACCTCGACCCCCATCCCTCCCGGCAGTTTCACATTTCCATCAGATACGATAGACTGTATTCCTTGACCCTACAGTGGCCCTGCCTGCAGTTAACTACTAACACACTGCAAATTTCCCGAGTTCCGGACCTCCTCTCGGCGTTTCTGGAAAGATGCCTACATGGGAAGGGCAGACCAATTCCGTCCGAATAGGCCGATTGGTGCATCCAACTGGGTCTAGGGTCAGACATGTATTGACCGGTTTATGCATTACATTACGCATTACTCGAGAGGGTGAGATGTACCTGCATAGGAGTTCTGGAGGTGCATCTGCCTGCACACAGTAGGTGGCAGGGGACTTCTGTAATTTGCGATCGTGGCACGGGAGTAGCGGCAGTGGTGACTCCGGGGTCTGCAACCTTGGCTGCAGGGTTGTAGCCTCTAAGCTATGAGGAAAACTTGACCGACGGTCCAGTGTAGCCTGATCGTTCTTGATGGTCCTGACCTTTCCAAAGCTGTAGCGGTCAATGATTATAAATGGTTCCTTGGCTGGTTACACTTGGCACTGTTTACGGTTCTAGGATTATCACCTCCCTAAACCTGCCTAGACATCTACAAAACAGGCCATCAAAACAATTTAATTGTAGCACATAGGGCCCATTCAACAGCTTTATAACTCCAATCTGAACCCTACCTCAGCAAGAAGCGACGCACGACAGGACCATGGGAACGAGACATCATATACTGGTTTCCTCCCTGGGTACGTCCGATATCGCCGAAGAGAGCGCCGAAGCTCCGTGGAAAGTTGGGATAGATCTAATCTCTCGGGCACTGGCCTAGTGCATGGACCTATGGAGACAAACACGAGGCATGTGCATGGATATTATGGGGTCTTTGGCAGAGCACAGCACGTATTAGATTTTTAAGGGGAAAGGGTGCAGGATCTACATTTGCTGTGACCATATTTAACTACATTTCAGAATCGTACGGATGCATGTAGAATCGTAAATTCCGAAAAAGGAAAAGAGCTGGAGTTAAAAAAAAAACTTGTCAATTTACAAACTTACGGAATGACGAAATTACAAAATACCAAGTCCGAACAGTGCGGATGCAGGCTCCATCTCGTTAAAGACTCGACTAGGCAGGTGATGGAGCTCTAGGAAGCCACGTTTACTTAGTGCGGAATTGTAAATTCCTATGAAATGTACTGTACATTGTATAATATTGCTTGTACATATGAAGAGGTTTGAAGTTACAGTCAAGCCTGATCCAAAATTTTTTTTAAAAAATGAAAAAATTGAAAGGTAGCAATACGAATACCAAAATAAAAAAAAACAAAACGAAACAAAAAGAGACGAAAAGATAAAAGCAGTTCCAACCCAAGTCGATCAGATAAAAATTTCAAGTTATCTGATCCATGCAGGACCCACTTACATTTATCTGATTTGATGTGATTATTTACCTTTGGACGTGGGATATCTGTTAATTTTGTGTTTTTTGAAAATCAAATGCCAGAGAGGCAATCGACAACTAATGGCAATCTTAATATTATCAGTAGTATGCTATCTAGGATTGAGATCGTCGCCGATCAACACCAACTCGAGTTTCGCGCGATTTTATGCGATTTTATCGACTTCATTTTCCAAGGTTGTCCCGTGCCAAGAAAACGTTGTCTTTGATTTAAACCTGTTTTTACCGTACAATTTCCGATCGGAAAGATGTACGCCGATTCACTCCACTTGTAGGTCGGTGGCACGCTTCGGTACTTGTAACCTGCCTCTTGAGTCTACCGGTGTGGTCGTGAGTGCTGAAGATCTGTAGGGCCAAATCGGTCAATGTTGTGGACTTGAGAGAAAATCGAGGGAGACTAGAAAACAAGCTCGTCATTACCGCAAAGGGGAAAAAGAATCTAAATACATAGGATGTCTAAATATTTCACTCAGAACAACAAAGGGACCCTAGAGTGGCAAAGGAAGGGGGAAAGCATCGAGAGCTGTCTCGCCGGACAGATGCTTAGAATCTCGGCCCACTTCCCAAAAGCAAACCTGAGACATGCAACGACGATCATGTCACATTTTGTTTTCGTCCTATCTTTTTTTTTCACAACCTAGCGCGCACCTGGGTGTCCTGCACCGAGGGAGCGCCAGTCAATTGATCCAGAAAGACGGAGTTTACAATCTCACCGCCCCGCACAGCTAGCACCGATAGCAAAGAATCACTAAGACCGTGTGTCTTCTCGTTGCAACCCTGTAGCCAGATACCAGCCTGGGTACTGACCTTGGCATTGTCGAGCGAAACACGGTAATCACGGCCAGGGTTCCAGGCCGACGCGCCAGCGGGCCGCAAGCTGCACACGTTCTCGAGGAGTCTCTCATGCGCGTCGCGAAGGTAGCCCGTCGCGACCATCAGTGCATCGACCTCCAACACTTCCTTGCCTGCGCTCTCGTTATTGACCGACTTGACATGGATGCGCATGCGGTTCGATGCGTTGTTGTGCTCAATCCGGGCAACCTTGGCCTCAACGAGAATGCGTTGCTGCCATTGTGTCTCGTCGGGGTTCTCCACCCGCTGCAGGTACATGTCGTTGTAGATGGACTCGATCAGCTCCAGACGAACCACGCTGTAGTTGGTGGCCTTCTCAGTGGCGATACGCTTCTTGCGCTCTTCAGCGCTCATCTCGTAGAACTTGTCTACGCGCTCGGGGTTGAAGATTTCGTTCACACTAGAGGTGAAAAAAATTAAAACGAGTTTAAAGGTTAGCTGGGTCATGGTTCTTTGAAGCTGTGTATTTGGGGGAACCGTACAAAGGAGAGTCATCACTGGGACGCAGAGCGGTATCACGGAGGATGAGGGTGGTGCGCGAGTTGGGGTACCGGCGGTGCAAATCGTGGTAGATCTCAGCGGCACTTTGGCCACTGCCGACGACGGCAATGTTGTAAGGTGCCATATTGTCGTTCAGTATCTGGGGCAGGTGAGTGCAGTACTTGGAGGAGTGCATAATGCGAGGATCCTGGGGGAAACCAGGAGGCATCTTGGCCTTGCCGCCGAGGGCAATGACGACCTTGCGGGAATTGCGGGAGGAGATCTCGCCAGTAGCGGTATTGCGCGAGACGACGGTAAAGAAGTCGACAACACCACGGGCATTGGTAGGACCGGGGACGACCTTGACAACCTCCTCGCCATACTTGACGACGTTGTCAAAGTGCAGGGCACACCAGCGCATATAGTCCTCGAACTCCATACGGGCAGGCAGGAAAGTGCCCAAGTTGGTGAAATGAACGAGACGCTTCTTGTGGTGCAGGTAGTTGAGGAAAGTGAAGGTGCTGCGGGGATTACGCATCGTAGCGAGATCCTTCATGAAGGAGATCTGCATGCGCGAGCCCGGGACCAGCATACCGGAGTGCCAGGCGAATTGGCTCTGTTTCTCCAGGAAGCAAACCTTGGGCTCGAAATTAGGATGCTTCGATACATCGAGAGCGGGGTCCATAGCGTCGTTCAGGGCAATAGCGATAGCAAGTGAAGCTGGGCCGAATCCAACACAAATCAGATCATGCATCTCATCAGCGCCAGTTGGTCGCAACATCGACCGAGCTGACTGGGGTTGGGTGCGTGGCACCATCTCGTTGAGGAATGAGAGCTCTGACTTGCGGGCAATAGGCTCCATGATTCAAGACTAGGTAAGAAAAAGTTTAGAAAAGTGTATATACAACCGAAAAAGGAAATCCAAGAGCTGCAAGGGGGAGCTTCCAAGTTCAAATCCTTTCCAAGTCAAAAATTGAGAAATAAAAAAGGGAAAGGCAGGGAAAAAGGCTTTATATCTCGAACGGATCAGATAACTTGACCAAGTGGATATCCCCCTCAAGGTCTCTCTCTCTCTC